TTCAACACATACTACATAGAACTAGATAGACCCGTATCGGAAGACCATTTCTTTTATGTCGTGGATATAAAAGATCTCTAAAATTTAATCCTTTAAAAAATGATATAAATTAAAATTTCTTTTAATATATTTTTTCAACTAGTGTTTTAATATTTGACCCTTTCTTTTCTGTGGATATTATAAGGGCTTTTTAAATTGTATCCGTCATGGATTCGGCCATACCCACAATTGGGGCCCAACATAACCTGGATAGTCCATTCCCCAAAAAATTCCTGGTGTTGCTCGTTCATATTAAGTTGTAATTTGTGTGTTGAACAAAAAGAATCTTATTCAAATACAAATCGCAAAACAATTTTTACAGCTTGTATTTGAATAATACGGTAATTTAATCTTTGCAATGGTTAACTGACTTTTGTGCCATCATATAGATGTAAACTCAATTTATTATCGTAGGAAAGGGAAGAGATGAGATTTTCATCTTGTGTTAAGTAGAATAGGTATAGACAGGAAATGATATCAGAGGAAACAGGTTCACTCTACATTAACCTAGTTTAAATAAGTTATATAGGGTATTTCAGAAATGTTTAGCCAAATTTCACAGGTTTATAGAGTGGAAAACCTGAATAAAAAGTCGATAACCGTTTTTTTAATCCGAAGCTTATCTAGCAAGCTATTAAGCATAAAAGTGTAGTCATTTCCGGTTTTTAAGTTTATTAATTAGGTGTATCAATAATTTCGTTTCTTCTGTGAAAAGTATATTTCTACGAAGGATTAATATTCCTTCGCAGACACCATTGACAATATTGTAGGCTCACTCGTGGAAAAAAATCACATGGCACAAATCCTTGCACTCGCTGTAAATGATACGGATATAATTGGTAATCACGAAGAATGTGCCATAAATTTGAATGAGCTGTGCCTATTGTTATAGTTATTCTCACTAATTCTAGCAATAATTTGAACTTCCATATCCGATATTCGTGCGGTTCTTGCTCATCCTCTATTGATGGTGACTAATTGAAAGCATCTTCGTTTTTCAAAAACGCTGATGAACAGCTGCAAAGGAATTCTTAGCTGAATTGATTAATTTAGTTTAATTTAATTAAAAGGGGTTAATTAAAAATGAACTGTTTAATAAAGAAATTATCATTAATAAACGAATTTAATTACTGACATATTACATAGATTTAAAAAACGAAAATGACGTCACTAGATTTTGACGCTCTCTAATTAAGTTTTAAAATAAAAATTGGCACTCGACTTTTTTATTCAGGTTTCCTTAATCTATAAGCCTTGAAATTTGGCCAAACATTTTTGAAACCTTGTATATACAATACTGAACATTTTTGAAACCTTGATTTTTACAATACATGAAATTTGGCCAAACATTTTTGAAACCTTGTATATACAATACTGTAGCCTATATGCAAACAAACTCAATGACATTTTAATGCGTTGATTTCTCATAATTTTAGATTTCGAATAATATGACTAAGCACAATAATGATTTCTATTATATTTCAAATAATTATATAAATACTCTGAGACTGAGGTACCAACAGGACAATTTGACTGAACTCTAGATATAAATTACATCACTATCAAACACTGATAGAGAGGTCAGCAGGGTGATTTGGCCCAAGCTCAGTAACAATATAGTTTTTTATATAAAAATAGGAGATGAAATTGATAGAGATAAGTTTCTCTTTTTGTTTTATTGATTTATTTCGTAATTTTTTTTATAGCTTTCGGAGGAATGTGAGGCCTAATTGTGGTTAGTCTGTTTCTATCTCTTTCAGGAACAACATATTACAAATGAAACAATAATGACTTGACCAAATTTCAAGCTGACAGTTATGTATAGGAGTTGTTATGATGTAGCCCTATACCAGGACAAGTCCTTATAGTAGTGGCCAAAAGTAGAGCTACCCTTGACATATGTTTTAAAAATGCGATTTCTATTTTGTTTACTACTTTTGGCCACTACTGTACATCTTATCACTTAAGATTTAAACAAACTTTTATTTAAAGAATCCATTTTTCTCTTATTTTCATACAAACTCAATCAAATCAAAATATCAAACAGATTTAACGATGATTTTTTTTCGTACTTATGGAAGGGAAAGTTACAAAATTTTTTAAATTTTATGTCAAGAAAATAAAATGATAATTAAGGTTTAATAATTTAAGAAACTAATTTATTTTAAGTTTCTTAAAATCTACGCCACTTAATTCTGTGATTAAAACAATAGCCAATTAGAAATTATTATTGAACATCTGACAGATGCATTAAACTATCTAAAGCCTTAGAGAAGTGGGACTGGACAATCACAAGTGTGGGCCCTACTCTCTTAAAACTATAAAAATANTCACTTGAAGATTTATGGTACGTAGAACAATAGTCGCATTTATATTTATTTGGATATTCTACATCTCTGCATTCTTTGAGTGACCAATCCTTGCATTTTTATTCGGGTCTTCTCAGATTTTTGCTTCATAACGCCTCTAGTTTGTAATTTTCTGGAGTATGTATTAGAATTTATGAATGTTTTTTATTGTGTATACTCAATTTTCGTCATCTAGTATTGCTTTAAATATAAGAAACTGGTGAAATATCATCTAAAGGCACTGGTTGTTGTACTTATCTTACGTGAGTGTCATTACGCTTCATCGCCATATTGGATTCTGAGGCATTTTGTTGGCTTAACAGCATATTATAAATCAAACAGAAAGCAAGAATGGGAAGCTAAATATATATAGTTTATACGCATAATGATTAAAATTAACAATTTAAAATAATGAGGTACTTAGTGTGAGGTCCCGGAAATAGCCCTCCACCGAAAAATAAATCTCGTGAGAAATAAAAAATTATATAAGTGTCGAATCGGCGACACCGGACTTTGACGTCGACGCTCATAAAGAGTACAGGGAAAAACAAAATTTTACATATAGGAAAAGAAAAGTTAAAACGCAGTTTAGAAAGCAAAACGAAACTAAAAAAAATATCGAAATGAGCGTAGGTGTCATAGTCAACAATTAATCGCGTTTAATTGTTGACTATGACACCTACGCTCATTTCGATATTTTTTTTAGTTTCGTTTTGCTTTCTAAACTGCGTTTTAACTTTTCTTTTCCTATATGTAAAATTTTGTTTTTCCCTGTACTCTTTATGAGCGTCGACGTCAAAGTCCGGTGTCGCCGATTCGACACTTATATAATTTTTTATTTCTCACGAGATTTATTTTTCGGTGGAGGGCTATTTCCGGGACCTCACACTAAGTACCTCATTATTTTAAATTGTTAATTTTAATCATTATGCGTATAAACTATATATATTTAGCTTCCCATTCTTGCTTTCTGTTTGATTTATAATATGCTGTTAAGCCAACAAAATGCCTCAGAATCCAATATGGCGATGAAGCGTAATGACACTCACGTAAGATAAGTACAACAACCAGTGCCTTTAGATGATATTTCACCAGTTTCTTATATTTAAAGCAATACTAGATGACGAAAATTGAGTATACACAATAAAAAACATTCATAAATTCTAATACATACTCCAGAAAATTACAAACTAGAGGCGTTATGAAGCAAAAATCTGAGAAGACCCGAATAAAAATGCAAGGATTGGTCACTCAAAGAATGCAGAGATGTAGAATATCCAAATAAATATAAATGCGACTATTGTTCTACGTACCATAAATCTTCAAGTGAAATCATGAGTGCCAATACCCAACCATTGTGCACGGCATTTCCACTCGATGGATACCATTGGAAATTGATTAATAAAATTTTTTAAGTAACTTGTATGTAAAGTAAATAAAACCAAATTGTAAAGTACACTTTAAACTTATATTTTATTAATAAAGTTTTGATGTTTGTATAAATTTGTATGTGTTATTTTAGTTTTCTGTTAGGTGGACGATATTACCCTACTTTTCCCTATATAACTTTTCTCTCTCCCACACTACTTGAAATACTTCTCTAAATTGGACACATTTAGAGAAGTTTAATTGTATATGTATATGTCAATATATAAATTTAAACTAGGTTAATGTAGAGTGCACCCGTTTCCTCTGATGTCATCTCCTGTCTATTTCTCTTCTACATAACACAAGATAAAGATCGTTTCCTCACCCTTTACTTTTCTATTACAATAAATTGAGTACCAATATAACAATTTAACATCTTAAATACACTTAATTCCAAGAAAAAAAATGAATTTTTAATATATTAATAAATTTATACTGTTTATAAAATATCGAAACGATATTTCAAATCATTTAATTAAAGTTGGTAAACGACTTCCGGTTACGCATAAATCTGTATTTCCGTTTACTTCTGGATACGCTAACTTGATCACGTCTGACAAAAACTAAATTAAGCATTTTTATTTACACCTTATTAAATCGAAGTAAAACAGTAAAAATTGATTCATTTGATAACTATTTTATTTTATTTTTTATTTATAAATTCTCCAGATGTTCCACACTTCGTTGAAAAATTCTTTACTACTTAATGTGTCGAAAGAATAAGTGGAGGAACCAAAAATATTCCACCTAAGATCTAAATTTCTCAACCTTTTCGAATGCTGAAAGAAGTGACGTTATCCAGAAATCTAATTTCCAGCCTCCGGGAGTCGCGATCTACCGGTTGAGATATTAGATTATAGACAAATTATTTCTAACTATTCAAGTTTTAAACAGTTTTTTCCCCTTTTAAAAGTAAAAATTGCTTAAAATTGATTCTTTGATCGTTTTATACAGCTATAGTACATTTTTTTCTTTAATGTTTTTGGTAGAACTTACAGAAAATTCAAAAATTTAAGTTGAAAATATGAAATATTTAAGGGTTTTCATACTTATTTTTTAAATAAAAATTTAAATTAAAAAATTTTTAAATTAAACCATATTCAGTAATTTACAAAATAAACTACACCATTAATTAAAAATCTTACTTATTTTATTTTAAAAAACAATTAAAATTTAGGAACTTACCTCTTTAAAAATGCAAAAATTGTAAAGTCTTTAAAAATTTATTCAAGGTTGCCTTGCGAAATATTTTGAGACAAGGTTTCCTATTGGTTAATTCGTGACTGCTTAGTGACGTTGACCGAATGACGCTCCTAGCACGATCTCTGGAACAAAATAAAATTCAAAAGAAGCGTAAAGTATAAAATTTAAATTAAAAAAATGCTAATTTTCTTATTTACAATATTTTCTAAATATTAAAATATACATTTTTCAATTAAGAAAATTAAGAATTTTATATTAGAAGTATTTACTTATAAAACAGAGTGAAATATCAGGTAGAACACGTATCAATAAATTGAATATCAACTCAGCTTCTTTTAAAACATTTAATAAAATATTTAACACCTTATAAATATTTTTTAATAAATATTTCTCAGCGTTATAAGATATTAAATGTTTTATTAAATAGAACACGTGTCTTTGGGGCATTATATATAAAGTCTACGAAACAAATGAGTATTTAATTAAACACGTCACTATTTGGGGATAATTTGTCACCACGAATTTCCAGAAAAATAAATTTTATTTTTTAAGTAAATTAATTATAAAATTTACTTAATTAATTTTATTATTAATATTAATAAAGTACAAAAACCAAATATGTACGCATTTTTCTATATAACAATTTAAAAAAGGGGATAAGTTAATACTGTATATTTCTTTAAATAATGTACTACTTTCTGAGCACTTGTTCATTTTTTTTATAATTGTAAAATGTCTTATTTTATGTATAATAAATTACGAATTCAATAAAAATGTTTCATTTTTTAAGATAAGATAAATATAAGGAGAAGTTTAATTGTATATATACTATACGTGTATATGTCAGTATATAAATTTAAACTAGGTTAATGTAGAGTGCTAGAACAGATTTATTAATTAATACCTTATAAAGAGTTATCAATTTTAAAACGTACTCTTTATAGCCTGAAATTTTTTAACTGTTTAAAAAAGAATATAAATAAAACTGTAATATAACAGAATATACTGTAAATAAAAACTGATTTTAAAAATTAATAATATCATTTAAATTCAAAACTTCTTTTAAAAACTGATTTTTTCCGAAACCGCGTGTCAGGTTCGAATGGTTGGTAACACGATCCTGTGTAAAGATAAAATAATTTTTAAATCGTTATAAGTTTAAAAGGAGACTTCGAATGAAGAATGGAAGATGCTTTCGATTTGAAGAATTGCTTTAGCTTGGAGATAAAAGTTCTAGAAGTATAACGGAATCTTGAAATTAGTTATTCGAGGTTAGAAAGGTGATAGTATTGTAGGATTGTAGTCTCTTTCGTCTTGGTGAGACTCATCCTGGTACTCCTCTACCCCCAAGATTAGGAGTGCATTCTTTTATTAAAGAACCTCAAGTGAACATTTGTGATTTTTAATCTTATGATGCCTTATGATACCTTTTTCTTTAGTATGTTAAGTTCGAATAAACGTTATTGTGTTCAGTTTGTGAATCGTCTCATTTGAAGGTACTGCTCAACATAATGACTTCGTTGTGGGATTGTAGATTTTATCTTCATGGTTTAACGAAAGCCGGTTTGTTTCCAGCATTAGTTTCATTACTAAAATTCCAACTTACAATATCAAGGATTTTATCAAATATACATAAGTTAGTCATTGTCTTTCTAATTACAAGATCCTTGAGCGACTGAGAAAACTGTTGATCCTGCAGTTCGAAACCTAATACTCCCGTTAACCAAACGAGCCTTCCATTCTTTCCTCTCATCCCACAATCATTCTTTATAGATTGGGATCGTCCATAAATTACATGATGTTATTTTTATCCTTTTCATCTACATCCCATCCTCCTGTAACGCTGCCGCACATACCTATCTCAAAATTACATATCCTCATTCTATCTCTTTAATTGTACCAAGAAATAATACGCTAAAAGTGGTTAGCTATTGATAATAGATAAAAACTAAAATTTCAAATTTAAATCATTTTATTATTATAGAATTACAAATGTTTCTTCTAAATTAAAAACTTTTTTTTTTTACTTTCGTGTTAATTTTTGTAAAATTAGACAATGGATGTTATAGACAAATCCGAGAAGTCCTCATTTGACCAAGTTTTACCAATAACTTAATCTCTACATACGAGTGTTTAACAAACACCAGTCGATTTAAAGATCGTAGCATTATATAAGGTTTTTATAAACACTCTCACCCTCTTGTAATATCTCAACGCTTCCCTGCATACCTACCCCCACATCTGTGTTACTTAATTTACGGACATTCCATTACCTTCTAGTTTTTTCTAATCTTTTTAAGTCCTCTTTAAGTTTTGTAACTTTTTTAGATTATAACGTCTGCATTAATAATAATTTCAATAATATTGGACATTTCTGTGATTATTTGAAGTTTTTAATATATGAAATCTGACTCATATATTGTTGATAAACCTTGCCATATTTTAAAATGTTAATATCGGTTGGTAATTATTTACATTTTTTCAAATCCAAATGATTTAAATTGTGTCAAAATAATGTAATGTTATCAAAACACAGCTTAGTTATAAACATGAAGGGTTGTAGTTGTAAATTAAAGAGTGCCAGGGCGCTAATTGGCACCTCGAGTTTGAATCGTCATTATTTTTGAAAGCGCCGTCCTCCTTGGCGTTTTTGGGGGTCAAAGCGCAATTTAATAGTACAATATCTGAAAAATGGCTTAAATGTGCCAAAAATGATCCGTATAATCGCAATTAGCGCAAAAAACTATGCAAGAAGTAATTTTACCATTTTTTTTCTCAGAGGTAACCAACTTTAGATTAAAGTCTAACCTAGATGTTCCCAAAGTACAAGTGCTTGACCCTGCTTTAAAAAAGTACCAGGATGCCGTCCTTGTATGCTCTGATACGATTATACCGCTAGATGAAATGCGAAGAACTACTTTATTGTATGTGCATGACATTGTAATTATCAGTAGGCGCGAATTCAATTAGGCTATATGCCGACTTCAAGATAAGGAATTATAAAATCACACCAATTTTATAGGGATCCTAAGAAAACTTAGGAACCCGTAGTGTCCCTAAGTTTTCTTAGAATTTAGGAAAAATCCCCACCTCTCCCCTCTCGACGGCTTTGATGGCGTGAATGGGTAACGAATGAGAAATAAGTTGTGTTGACCATGATAAATTATGGGATTGAAATTTGAATCCTATCAAACTCTAGTTCTATATAGCCTAATATAAGATTGTCTACCCTGCCTACAAATGGACAAACCAAAAGGACTATGATCTTAACACGAGATATCCACTCTTAAAATTTTGATGATGCCAATCTACAAACTATTTGGATAAAACACGTGGTTTGTAAATTATCCATGTGACTATACATGTGGATAATTTGTTATCCATATGTATAGTCACATGGAAACCACGTGGCTTTAATTTTTATATTCGTTGAAAAAGATTATTTTAAATGTATCGTGCAGAATTTTTCTATACAAAATTATACACAATTTTTTAAATTATGAATAGAAAACATATAGAAAAACGAACAACTGAACAAAATATGCTGAATTATAATTTAATAAATAAATGCGTAAAATTATATATTTAAGACAAGATATCCAGTAGCAATCAGTATAAACAGGAAACAAAAATATTATCTGGTATGATGTTTATATTGCGAAATATAGTTTTACTGCTGTTATTTTTTAAAATATCAATTATTAAATTCATTTATGTGCTTTAATAATTAATGCAAAATATAAATTATATTTTAAAAATTAATTTAAGGTTTCGATATTTAGACAGATATATTTTATTTTTAAATTAAAGTTGAATTTTTAATAATAAAGAGGGTCTACAGAATCATTTGGTTACTAGGACCAGATTTAGATTAAGCTAAATGTGCTAAGGCCTAAGACCTCAGGATATGAGGCTACAGTTTAGGGCAGTGTTTCCCAACGTGGGGCCCATGCCCCACATGGTGGCAATTGGATTGTAAAAGGAGGCAATTCGAAAATGGACTCGTCCAGAGTTTAAGTTAACTATATAGCCGTTGTATATGTTAGGGGGGGCATAAGAATTTTAAAAAGGCTTAGGTGAGGTATAGCACAAAAAACGGTTGGGAAACACTAGTTTAGGGCCTCTCGCTTTTAAATTTATTGATTGTGCAGGGTCAAGGTTTCGTATATGCTGTAATTTAGGACAACAGTAAGTCTAAATCTAGGCTCTAGACCAGAGTTCAAACATAACTAATCCAAAAGAACTTAAAATTTCTTTTGGTCAATAGTAATAAATGTATTTATTTTTTTGTTCCTAATATTAACTAGGGCCGGATTTACACATTGCAACATAGGGAAGGTTTAATGCTCTCATAATACATTTCAGGATCTGTAGCTTTTAAATTTATTAATTGGAGAAATCGAAGGGTATGTTATAGCTTAAAGCGATTTACTGCAAGCTTTATGCTGCAAGAAACTGACTTTATACGCACCTGTTTAGGGTTTCACGATTTTAAATTTATTTGGTGACGGGGAAAGTATCATATGTTATAACTTAGTAGCCTACAACAACAAATCTAAATCCAACTCTGGGCCCGGGCACCAGACCCAAAAAAGGTCCCAAAATTTAACCTTCTATGTAAAAATCGTAATGAAAACAGATTTATATCAATTTGGTATTTATTTTATAATTTTTTTTTAATATTTTTATGGCTTTTAGAGAAGGGGCGGGGTTCTAAATTTGTTAACTAATTAGGGTCTTCTATTGATTTGTATTATTCTAAGTATATATTTAAAGATATGATTATTCATTTATAAAATTAACCTCTATTTATTCTGATTATTTAAATAATATAAACCGGATTCATTGCAGGAAGAGGTGGTCTTTACAGTTCCTGTGGAAGGTTTTCAAACTTTTATGTCACCGTTACAAAACCGTTATAAATATACTTTTGCTTGCTGTATAGGAGGTAAGTCTGTTGTTGAAATATTTAATATTTTAATTAATTAATGTGATAAATATCCGAAGAAAAATTTATTGTTTTTTAACCTTACAAGTGAATTATATTAGACATTGCATTTAATTAATTAATTAAAACTAATTTTTAAGAATATTTATTAAAATAAAATATTACACACAAGTTAATTTAATTGAGACTAATTTATTAAATTATTAATGCCTAAAATAAGTATAATTAAAATTTAATGAAGCAGAGGCTTAAACTCGAGAGCCTAGATGTTAAGGCCTTATTTTTTAGATGCTCTAACTTTATATCTCCTAAATAGTATCTCTAAAATGTATTAATTCCTAAATAGTATCTCAAGATCTGCATATTCTAATTTCGAGACCTTATTAAATCGGAATATTCAAAGAAACCTGAAAAGAATTAACACATCTGGAAGTCCTAAGAGGCGCTTTCATGTGTTACAAATTCCTTAACGCCGAAATTTTATTAAAAAATACATGATTAAATTATCCCTTATACCTCTTGAACAGTCTCCTCAGACGTCCAGAGGCCCGAGCCACTTACCTTTTTGAAGTCCTGTTATACTAAAACAACACACCAATAAAATTTGACAATACTAATTTATGTTTTTGAGGCCCCCATAAATATGAGACTCGAATAAAAATAGTCTTAAATAAATTGTCTTATTGGCCTACTCTGATAGGGTCTGCCAATGATTCATGAAGATGTAAATAAATGATAAATTGATTTTTAAATAAATTGTCTGCAATAAATTCTCAGTTGTTATGTATTTTTCTTTCTAAAAACATTTTAAAAAATTACAGCAATGTGATTTGAATGCAATGATATGCAATGGTATGCTAGTGTGCAAACATTAATAAGTCTAGCCATTCAGATTATATTTATTTTTAGAACATACGATGCCCCAATATATTCCTAGGTTCCTTGTAATGTAATCTGTGCATTCTAATGATAATTATAGTTAAATGATTATCATTGCTGTCTGTATTTTATAATAAATATTTTTTGTTAAATGACAAATGTTGGAAAATTTTAAAACAAAAATTAGGTTAAAATGGTAATTTTTCAATCCAAGGAACATTACAAATTTTTTCTAGGCAAATAATTCTAGTCAATCGTATAATCTACACTGAGAGACGAGAGAGGGTTGAATCAGTAACAAGTATGGCGCCTCATCCCTCCGAAAGCCGTAAAAGTTTATTTTTTACTGTATATCATAAACATCTGTAAAGTGTAATATAAGCTTAAGATTACTACAAAGCCAATAAGAGGAAAAAGGCGACGGCCCTCGAGGCCTGGGAATGAAATCTGTATGAAAAATTTTGATTATAAAATGTATAAAGCAGTATAAAGGAGAAAATTAAGTATAATAAACAGCATCGTGATAGTGGCGTAGCGTAGTGGGAGCGGCAGGAGCGGCCGCCCCCACTACGCTACGCCACTATCACGATGCTGTTTATTATACTTAATTTTCTCCTTTAGGCACTTGAGATTACATAAATTGCGGGCGGCACTTTTTAGGGGGCGGCAAAATTTCACAATAAATAATAATAATATCTTGTAAAACTTTGAATCATTATATTTCATATTTCCGTCGCACCTACGATTCGGACCGATTGAAATCAGCACGGAATAGCGTTACTATCCGGACAGTCCGGGAATCGACTCACCGTCCAGATGAACTACTGTATTAATTTTACCCGGGGAGATCGTGCGCAACCTGTCGACCTTTTTGTTTTTTTTTGCTTGGACGATGAATTCGTACTCATATACACCTCCAATATCCAATAGAGCTAGGTCATCTAGGTCAAGGGTGGGCAACCTTTTTTATAACATGGGCCAGAATAAATTTTACGTTTTTTCCGTGGGCCATAGTAGTTAATTGACACCTTGTGACCTGTAAATTTTTAGTCTGCAAATATCAAATAAATAAATAAATAAAAAGAAATTAATTACTACAGTCGACCCCCCTATAACACTGTTGATTATTCCGTTTTATATGAATTCCATGTTGTATGAGTCACTTAGATTTTACAAATTCCTGTGCCGGGCTGTGAACGGCTCACCTATTTGTAAAATCTAAGTGACTTTAAACACAATAAAAACATCACTATGTAGTTGGATACGACAGACATTACATTTTCTAATTGCATAGCTTTTGCACATAGATTTTCTTGATGGATGACGCGATGAGATATAAATAATTTAGAAAAATTCTGTTCTCCCATTTTTTGTTTGAATAAGGAAATGACTCCCTTATTTTTTCCTGTCATTGCTGCCACAACACTTCAGAAAAAAATATTCAATTTAAACTAGACGAATTACATCGAAAATATTTATTTATAATTTCTTCTAAACATCTCGCGGGCCGGATAGAAAGTTTTCGCGGGCCGTAGCTGGCCCGCGGGCCGGGGGTTGCCCACCGTTGTTTATATTATTCCCACCCAAGTCTCCCTAGTCGCTAATTGTAACTGATTTAGAACCGGCGTACACTGCACATTATTCTTCACATTACAAAATGACATACGCATGCGTCAGGAACTTCTGTTCTAACAACCTCACCTGCCGTCCGGGTCAGCGATTTTAAAAAGGTGGCAACACTAGCACGGAATTTTTCACTACTTATTCTGTGATGAAACTAAATTTTAGTCTTTTAAATTAAGATACCTAAATAAGGAGACGGCGAAATTTTCCTTTGCCCCGGGCGGCTGACACCCACGCTACGCCACTGCGTGATAGTATCTCGTGAGAAGGGATAGAAAGGGCCTGGAGGTCCAGGGCCTTTATGAGCTCTCCATAAACCTGATTTTATGTTATCCTGGATATTATTCTCATATTTTTCTACATTAAATAAATGAATGAATATGCAATGATGCATCATAATTGGAATTTACTTCGTTTCAGGAAGTCGTTCGAACTCCGAATTTATTTTCTCCTTTAGAAATACTGTAATAGAAAATGATTTAATCCATTCCAGTCTTCCAAAAAACAATACCCATTTCGATAAACTTAAACAGCAAGTAAACATGATTTAAGGTAAAAATAACACGCAAGAGTTGCTTTTACAGCAAGAGCAAAAACTTGTGAGCACAATAGATGGCGTTTACCCAGAGAGTGCATTTTTTTCACAGCGCGCGCAGTTTCAAGGTAAAACTCTGAATCGAATTTTTCTCGGACTCTTGTTTGAAGTTAGAAACGTTCGAAGTACGAGATATCACTGTATACCTCGTGTAACTAACGTACAGAATTATTTAATTTTAATTCTAAATTTATAATTTAAGATTTACCATTGAAGATTTGTAATAAACCACTTTTATTTCAGAAAATGAAACCATATTATGTATTCTTCGTCCTTATTTTTCTCATGCTAAATGAATTCTCATGGTCAGAATCTATACGTTATGCCAAGTTGATGCAATCTATAAATCCTTTAAGCAAAATATTAGATTTAACTGGAGATGATGGCAAGACCACAAAAGATGCAATATCTTCCAAGTCATTGAATTACATAGAAAAATTCCTGGAAATATCGAATGAAACAGATTGTAAATCCGTTCACAAAAGCTGCCTGAATCATTCTCGTGAATCATCAATTAGAACGGATACATTTATTTGTTCTTGCAATTCAGAATGTCCCAAATATGGCGACTGTTGCTTGGATTCAAAATTCGAAAATAATAATCTCGACGTGAAATTTCAGTGTATCATTACCAACGAAGAGCCATTTGAATCTTACTACATGATTAATAGATGTCCTTCGTATTGGGACGACAATAACACCAAATTATTCTGCGAAATTGCATCGACATATAACAGTAACAATGTCCTCACCCGCGTACCAGTTACTAGCAAAAATAATCTGCAAACATATCGAAATATATATTGTGCAATATGCAATAATGCTGATGATGTTGTAGCATGGATTCCTCATCATGTTTGCTACGACTCTTTGCAAAATTGCGTCAAGAAATACACACCCCCAAAAAATCTTAAACCGAAGCAATGCAATTCCATTGTTAATTCAACTTGCAACACTTCTGAAGATCGTTTTCTTCAGCTTAACTGTGCAAACTTTTATGCACCAGTTAGATATACGAATTCTCAAGGCAATCAGATTATCTACAAGAACAAGTTTTGTGCACTTTGTTCAGGTGTAAAATCAAGTGATAATTTAGAATGTTCCGATGGAATGGTGACGACGATGACTACATTAAAGAGCATAATTCCCGAAGAGAACATTTCCTCTATTTACCTTAATTTCGTATTTTTTAATGGAGATGTTATACTCGAAATTGAAAAGTGTCCTATGAATATGCAACAACCATGGAAGAATTGTTACACTTTGTATTGTCAAGGATTGTTTCAATATGAAAATGGAAAATGTTTAATGAAAAGTAATCGTGAATTAATTATCATTAAAATATTGATGAAGAGTTCATTAAATTCTACTTGTAGTAAAGTAAGTTTTTCCCCTCTTTTACTTATTTATTTATTTAGCCTTAGTATATATCAATATTACAATATTGATATATGCTAATATACAATTACATAAATACAAAATTTATGTTTTTGAAAAAAAAGAAAAAAAAATAATATATTTTGTGAATAAGGGTTTAAAAAGACATATTTTTTTCAGTCATGAAAATATATTCTTAGATATTTATATTTTGCATAATTTGATACACAATGTTTATAATTTATGCAGAAAACAGATTTGCAAGATTTGATTTCTGCAAAAACTTTAAGGTTGAAAAATTCCATAAAATTCAAGATCGATTGAAAAATTACAAAATTGAAGAACAGATTCTCTACAACAGTGTTTTTCAACATGTGGGTCGCGACCCCCAGTAGGTCGGGTAAAAGAAAAATACAAATGTTTGTAGGTCCTACACTACAATAAAAAAAACTACAATTTCAGTGAGAAGGCTGTGCCTATTTATTTTACAGTACAATTGGTTTTTCGATCGATATTTAGGTCTCAAAAGAAAAAAGTTAAATACTGTACGTAGTTTTTAAAATCACTAATATAGTTTTAATATGGCCCTGGGGGGTCGCCAGAATTTTTTAACTTGTAAAGGGGTCGCGTATTCAAGAAGGTTGAAAAACACAATAATACAAAACTACAAAATAATTTTTAAATATTTGTTTTCATGGTTGAATATTATTGTCCCATAAATGCCAGAAATTTTTTGCATATTTTGATTTTGCATTAGTATGATATTTATTTATTTAGACTAGAGATAGGCGGATACTCGAATACTTTCTAGTATTAAATATATCGAGTATTACGTTGATAAAACATATATTCTAATACTACGAATATCTCGAACATCGCGCTATACATAAGTAAAAAATGAAAATAGGAGACAAATTGTGAAATAATAAATATTAAATAAAATTATTATCTAAGTTATATAAGGTAATTAAGTTGATCAAGTATTCAAAGTATTCGAGAAAAGTGATACAGTGGTACCTCAGGATACGAAATTAATCCGTTCCGAAATTGAGATCGTATCATGAAAATGTCGTAAGGTGGATCAGCTTTTCCCATACGATTACATGTAAAACCAAATAATTCGTTCCAACGCGAAAAACATACTCAAATTAAAGCCAAGTAATACATTAAAAAAATAACTGTAGTAAGAAAAACAAATGAAAAATGCGAACTAATGTAACGTCGTATGGTGAGTTTTTGTTCGTATAGTGGAGCAAAAATATGTTCGAATTTCATGTCGTATCCTGAAAATTTCGTATGCTGGGGCGTTCGTAACCTGAGGTACCACTGTATTCGTCTATCTCTAATTTAGACTTTTAACTTATGAAGTTTCCATTATTTACATTCTAGATAACGATCACTTCCGATAATTACGAAGCTTTTGAAAATGGTTTTTTGTTATTGAAGAAGTATCAAAAACTTTTACAAACTGGAGACTATCAAATGATTTCATCTATCAACAGATCACTTTTAATATGCGATCCCCTTAAAGGAAAAATCTATCAATTATCAAAGGAACAATATTATCTTATCATCATCTGCTTCTCCATTTCTGCAAATTGCTTGATTGTGAAGATCATCCTACATCTCCTAGGATCGCAGAAAAGTACATTAGTGACAACAGCAGTTTTTTATTTATCTGTATCACTTTTTCTAGGCCAATTATTGTTTTTATCCAGTTCTGGCAAAATTCATGATTCGCTTTGTACGGGTATTGCAATTTTTAAGCACTACTTCTTTATGGTTTCCATCTGTTGCACCAATCCTATTGGCTTCGGTATCTGGAAGACTTTCTTAAATTTCAGATCCCAGCTACAAGAACAAGGAAGAAAAGTCATTTCTTGTGCAGTGTACTGTTGGGGTGTTCCTACATTAATCGTTATAGCTGCCATCATTACCGAATGGGCATTTAAATCAAAATTTAACCCCAGATATGGGAGCAATTTATATAATTTCTGTTGGATCTCGAATCGTCTTGGATTTTTGCTTTTCTTCGCCATTCCTTTATTATTGGTTTTGCTAATAAACATCATTTTTTGTGTAACTATTGGAATCTCAATCATCAAAATCTCCAAATCCTCAAAATGTGCTAAAAATAGCAACATTCGTAGGAATTATTTGATGTTTGCGCTTTTTCTTACACTAACTCTAATCATTGTTTTTACTTGGATTATTGGTTTTGCTGCTTCTTATTCTGAAAGTGAAATCTTATGGCCTCCTTTCATTGTTCTGAACGGTGTACAAGGTGTTTATTTGTTGTTTTCTTTTACTAATTTTGATTCACTTAAGAATTGTTGTAAAAAGATACGACGGAGAAAGAACCGTTATAATTATAATGTGAGAAACGCACATACTAAATCTATTAAAATGGAAGAAATGTGAATGAATTCTCGTGGCTTCAAATTGTATTATAGAAAATTAATTTGTACTTAAAGATCACGAAGATCATCTGGAATACCTTGATAGTCATTCATACTCTTGTGAGAAATAGATTTGCAATGTGTTTTTCTTACATTACTATTAGCGTGTACTGTACATTGAATTCTTGTGAATTCAAAGTGTATTATAGAATCATTAAATCAGCAATTTTTTTGTACTTAAATATTTTAATAAAATAAATGTTATTATTGCAATGATTATTTTATTTCTAAATATTATTTATATACAAAAAAATATTCTTTTATAAAATTTAAAAAATAATACAAGTGTTAAAATCATATTTTTAATCAACAAAACTAAACATTTTTTTGCTAAAACTGATGTATCCATCAAATATCCATCATCACTTCTCACAATTGAGAATTTGTTTTCCTGGATGATGATCATGATCATGATCATGAAGGAAAGCACGACAATATTAAATTAATTCATAGATATAACTATCATCAGCTTGAAATTATGAATGTAATTCATTCGATAGTTATTCCGTATAATACGGAGTAACTAACAAGTTCCGAGTATTCGATAACAAGTTGATTAACACTGCTAGCAATTAGAGAGATTGAAGTTAATAATTCATTAGAGTATTAAAACTGTTCGAGAAGTCAGATCACAGAATAGCTTGCCTTATTACTAGCGATTAGACTTTCTTAAGGCAGAACGAGACACTAGTTCTTAGTACTCGAGTTGGCTTGTTCGTTGTCGTGTAGGGTTTCTTATTTCCCGGTGTTTTGCTTGTTCCGGGATAGAATTAATTATTTTTAGAACATACAAAATATCTTAGAATCAAATGATATAAATATTATTCATTTTTTAAAGTAATTTAATACGTTCTGCAACCTCCAAAATCATATTATATTATATATATAATTTTAATAATGCTGTGTAATATATAAGTTTAATAATGCTGTGTGATATATACTGTATAGTATAAGTTTAATAATGCTGTGTGATATATACTGTATAGTATAAGTTTAATAATGCTGTGTGATATATACTGTATAGTATAAGTTTAATAATGCTGTGTGATATATACTGTATAGTATAAGTTTAATAATGCTGTGTGATATATACTGTATAGTATAAGTTTAATAATGCTGTGTGATATATACTGTATAGTATAAGTTTAATAATGCTGTGTGATATATACTGTATAGTATAAGTTTAATAATGCTGTGTGATATATACTGTATAGTATAAGTTTAATAATGCTGTGNATTTCAAAAAAAAAGAAAAAAAAAATAGATTTATAGAAGAATAAACTTCTTTACTAAATAGAGTTAGTGAAAGAATATTATTCTTTCTTTTTTTACAAATAGAAAATACGTTAAATAAAAGTTTTCTTTTATAAAACTCCATAATGCAACTTTAACTTAATTACTTTTAATAAAGCAAATCAATATATGTGAATTAGAGAAATTAAAAATAAATACGTGTTTTCATTAATTTGCATTTTATAAATCCATTAGTCAATTAAAACACTGTAAATAAAATTTGTTTTACAAAAATGTCCTTAAAATATAAGTTGTTTCGAAAAATCAGCGATATATTAGTAATACTTCTGTTTTCTTTAGTGGAAATAAGAAAATGAGATTTACTAAACTGATAAATTAAGTTAAAGTTAGAAACTATGTAGTCAATAAATTAACGGCCCTCAATCAAATTTGCTGTAATTTAGCTACTGATCTCATTAACAATTTACCAATTCCATAACTTTATAATTATGAGAGAAGGTCCATTATATAGAAACATTTAAATGTTTAGTTAATAAATATAAAGCTTTTTTAAAGCTTTTTAAAGCTTAAAATAACCAAGTTATGTTTAGAAAAAAATATCATTTAATAAATAATATGTGTTATAAATAAAGCAGAATATGTTTTTATAATTCTAACGACATAAATCATATATATATATTTTAGTTTAATTTAACGTTGATGAGAATGTCTCTTGCCACTTCTATCTTATGTTTGAATTATTAACAGTTTCTGGATCTATCGAGAGCAATGTCATCTGTTAGTGTCATGGATGACGATCTGTCTTGTACATGCTTTAGGCATTACACAAACACTGCCATAACAGGATGACAAGATTTCAGAACACTTAATCCAAATTCTCAAATTGCTTTATCAAATATATACAGAAAATATTGGCTATAATTAGTTTAAATGATCTATAAATTGATTTTGTTTTTCACCGATTAATCTACATTATCAAAAATATTTGATTTAAACAGTACCATTTATTAATACGTGCATGACGATTGTATAGGGGATGATCAGATAAACCATATTTTCCATCATATGTTTTTAATAGATGGTAAAAGATCCAGGATATAGAAAGACTGTCTATTAATAAAGAAACTCAAAAATATTTGATTTAAAAAGTACCATTTATTAATACGTGCATGACGATTGTATAGGGGATGATCAGATAAACCATATTTTCCATCATATGTTTTTAAAAACAAAGTTTTGAAGTTCTAACAAATAGATTTTAACTTTTTTGTGTAGATGGGGAGGGCTTATAACCTTTCCTTTAAATCTGTACTGTTAATAGATTATTTATAACTAAATTAGGAGTATTACAAAAAAATTATAAAATTATCTGAATATAAAAAATATTGAAGTTTAAAATGTTCTGAATATACTTTATATAAAATAAAAGAATTAATTAATAATAAAAATATTCCTTCTATAAAAATAAAAAATGATAAATAAATACTCAGGTTTTTTTCTTAATATTTTACACAAAAAATTGGTTTTGCAGTTAATGTGATGAGACATTAACAAATGTTCTACTAGTATGTTAAGTTATTGTTCTTATTTTACCAGTTCAAAGGTGTGAGACTCACTTTTACATAGACATTTGCACTTATCAGATTTTAATGACAATTGTCAGGAGAGGACTCTAATCTCTTTAATTTATAACATTACACCTAAAATTAAAACAAACAAATGAAAGATACTTGTTCTATGTTCTAAATTAGTGGGACGTTTTTATAACTAAATTACTGCATTCCCTTCTTCACTGACTGATTCAAAGACATTTACTTAATTTAAATACTGTATAGAAACTTAGAGAGAAATATCAATTTGAATGTTTCATATTCAATAGAAAAAATATCTCATTGAATTCTTAAAAATTAATGTTTAGTTCTTATATTTCTTCACTTTGTTAAAAAATTACAAATCTGTATAACTAAATATCAACCAATATTTATTTTTACTTGCATAACTCCATATAAAGGGGAAAAACAATTACAAATATTTTATTTAACACATTAAAATAATTAAATAAAGTGTTAGAAGATAAATTTTTACAAAATAAATACCAAAGGTTCTCTATAACATGATCATTTGCATTAAACACAATCTTAAGATTCTTTTCAGATGAAAAATAAATGTAAAAAAGGTTGATCTGTTTTACAAAACTGACACATTGTTTTCTTCTTAATTGCTTCTAAGCAAGAAAAAATTTGATAAGATGTAACTGAATAGACAATTTCTTCAAATCAAAGCAAATGTTGCTATTATGTATATATAAATATATTACAATATTTATAATAATATTTACAATATATACAGCTATATACACATAATTATATAAGTTATTTAGAAAATTTTAATAATATATTTCATCATGCAATAACAATTATATTTTTATCTTTAATTACAGTTAATCAAATGATAAAAATTCATTTAAATATTTTTTGGGAAATTTGATTAATAAAAATAATAATGATCAATTTTGTGCATAAAGAATAAAAATAATAGGAAATTTGAACAATTAATAATTTAAAATTAAATCATTAATTTTTTATGTTCTAAATAAAAGATTTTAAAAGTCTTTTTAAAAAATTAACAAAATATATATATATAAGATTTTAAAGTATATAAATAAATATATATAATTTAACATTTTCAATTATCTTTTTGCCCATTCTTTCATGTCACCCCAATTACTCCCAACACGAATTTTGACAGGCAATTTAACAGAAAGAGAAACAGCACTTTCCATTCCTTCCTTAACTATGGCATAAACAGGTTCTATGTCTTCTTCCTGCACTTCATATATTAATTCATCATGAAGTTCTAAAACCAGGTAACCTCCACGCAAAAGACTTCTATTAGGTTCTTCTTGTATCTTATGATCTAATAAAATTCATTTGATATATTTCATGCATAAAACAATTTGAAAATGTTTAAAAAAACTAAATATTTAATACCTGAAAACAGATACTGATGTGGTCTTTTTGTCTCAGGATAAATGGCTTCCATTTTTTCATTTATTTTAATCATTGCAATCTTAATTAAATCTGCAGCAGATCCTTGAATGATAGTATTTATGGCTTGTCGCTCTGTTTTGGCACGAACATGAGCTATTACACTGTTGATAGATGGTAGATATCTTCTTCTTCCATACAAAGTTTCAACAAATCCGTGTTTACGGCAAGCATTCACCACAGATTCGGTATACTTTTTTATACCTGAAAATAATGACTTTTATAAAATATATCACTAAAAATCATAATTATACTTAATATTAGAGTAAAAGATAATATACTTAAAATTCTGTAATTAAATATTGTAAAATAATAACTGTTCCATTTAAAAAGTCAGTCAAAATATATTCTGTAAGGCAAGTTAAAAATATTAATAATATATGATTTGAAAACTAGAAAAAGGTTCTTTTGGTTGATATCAAAGGTGTTTATTCATCTCAGTTATTGATTGTATCAAATGAGTAACAGCATAATGCCAAATAACATAATAAAATTTAATTTTTTTTTAAATTCTAATTTTTGAGCAAGGATATTTATTGATTTAAGTTTTGTTATATTTATATGATGCAAAATAAATTATAAAAAATCAAATTTACATGTTTGATTCTGACTCAATGATTTACAAATAACTAGTAAGATTGCATTACAACTAATAACAATGGATAGATATCCATTGTTATTAGTTGTAATGGTTGAAATTTATAAAACTTAATATCATTATAATTTTTAAAATTTCCAGATGCAAAGTGTCAGAGCACATGTACAATGTACAGTACAGTATCACATGTGGGAGTCTGATTTAGAACAAAAGAGAGGCTGGAGTGCTGGGAATCTATCTTGATAATTCTACAGCCAATAAAAAAAGTATTAAATATAGCATTATTTTACTTTAATCAGAGTCCAAATATTTGGTTATCCCAAATAATTTTGGATATTTCATTTCTTCTGCATGAAATATTATATTGTTTAATATGTTATATTTTATGTATGTAAATAAATAATCAATATTAATAATGCACAGATAATTTATTACTAACCTGGATATGTTGCTTTAAATGTTTCCATAAAAGAGCTTGCTTTCTCTTCTTCCATATCCAATTGGTCTGATAATGCTTTTATTCCAATACCATAGATCATACCATAGCATATCTTATAAAGCAAAATTTATAAAATTTTTAATTCAATATATTTAATTAAATATAATTTTATTATCTTTATAACTTTAAATATTAATTGCATTAGATAATCACTAGAAATAATCATCATGGAACAATCACACTGCTAATATATACATGATATATTTAATAGTATGTATTAAATTCGTTTTATATTTCAATGTGTATTGAACAATTGAATCTGGCCTCAATTATCTGTTTATCCTCCAGTGTGATTGCCTATGTGCTTCCATTTTCATGAAAATGATAGCCACATCATAAATTCTATTTCATTTTACTTCTTTGCACAGTATTGCATGTCAGCATCTGACTTCAAAAATAATCAGAACTGAAGTGCAATAGGATCATATCATTCATTGCCAAACCAGCACTCTCTAATCTGGCATCTCTTTGTGCAAGGAATAGCAAAATTAATGAAAGTATACCATATTTCCTTTTGATACAGTTAAATAAATATAAGGATATTTAGGAATCAATATGGGATTGTTCTTAAATTATGTAATGTTCTTTTTATACTTTTCAACCACCATTCCACCCCTTGTAACATACTGTACTGTACATAGCCACATGCAAAATTACATAATGCATATCCTTGATCAACTCCTTAATTGTACTTACCAACAATACAGAGCACAGGGTGCTAAATTTTATTTTATATAATAATATAAATTTATTAGATATAATGTACAAAACAGTGGCTTAAGCAGTACAGTTTGCTATGCAACAGTTCAGAAACAAAAATTAATCATTCTGTAACCCAAGGGTACAGATTCTATTGTTACATAATGTTTTCATAATCACCTCTATGCCCCTGTAATGCATTATAATGATTACCTGCATGACCACCTACCCATATTTATGTTTTGTAATTTATGGACAGTCCCTGCATTTATAAAACAAAGAATAATTTAAAAGTAATTGTGTTGATTGCCTATATATGAGTCAATAGTTGAGATAAAAAATTATAGAATTTAAAAAATGCTAACAAATTACTTTAAAGAAGTTAAAGTAAATTTTAAAAGGAAATAGAATTGCACTATAACAGAACCAGATGTGCCATCATTATTATTGTCCAAAACAGAAATTATTTTTATCTGAAACAACTATAAACATGCAATAAACATAAAAGTAATTAAGAAAATATTTAATAAATATATTACTATTATCAGAATTTATGCAGATGATAATGGACTTTTAAAAGAAAATGTGTGTAAAGACTAAATTCTCAATTCTTTGAAGCAAGATAGAAATAATGGTGGCACTTCCAGTTTGGTGGAGTGTGTTGTTAGACTTATATGACTGGTAAAATATAGATCATGTCATCAATGAAACTCTGATTTTAATTGGCTATGAGTGATATTTTCTAATGCTGATTTCTTTATATATATATAGATTATTACCATTTCAGAGAATAATATCATCATTGCAAAAGCTAACTGATTAATTTGTGATTTGGATATAAAATGCTTAAAAATTAGATTTAAGTATGATTAAGAATTTCAGTATTATCTCTCTATGTAATATACAGCAATCCAGTTATATAGTTCAATATTATCAATATAAAATAGAAAAAATTATTCCAGAAGCAATCAAATATTAGCAATATCAAAGTATAATACAACTGTATTTGAAACTTTATTTTAATTGGCAAGTAAATAAAAATTTTTTTCTTTTTTTTTTAAATATTTTCCTACAGATAGTCCTCAACTTTTGTATAAAATTTATTCCTAAAAATATGTGCTCTTTCCAAAATTAGAATAACAGAGATACATGCTATAAAGGTAGTTCCATTTCCAGAAAATTAAAAACATATATTATAAAATCTCTTTTTTCCTCTTCCTCCTGCCTTGCAGTTGCATTGTGGTCATTAAGAGGACCCCTTTTCCATGCTCATCATGGGTTTGGCCAGGCACACAATAGAGACAACCAATTGGAGAGAGATGAAGCACATCATTTCCAGCTCATCCAGACTCAATCCCAAGTTCTGCAGTAAGTTCTTTGAAGCTTTGGTAGGTGATATCTTAACTGCCTCACTATCTAGCCAACAAAATCTTTATTAAGAAAGGAAAACTTTACATTTTTACCATGAGTATGTTATAATGCATTAAACATTATTAAAAATGTTAAAACTTCAAATTAAACAGAGAACTGGCAATCAAAACTAGCAAGGTAAAGTAACTATAATTATCATATAATAATTTAAAAATTTTGTTTGTTGGCTGAAAATGTATAATAATCCAAATTTAGTACACGAAAATTATTTAGAATATAGAAGTACCATGTTGAAAGAGAAAGTTGTCTGAAAGTTGAGAATTACCTGTATACATCTTGTTTTCACTGTCTTGCAACTTAAAAATTTACAACTTTATAGCATCTTTATAAAACTTATAGCTTTAATGATAAATTTAAGTTTATTTTCAAAATTTAAATTCCTATGCACATTAATGTGAAAAATTATAACTACAGTAAAAGTAATTTCATTTTATTCTTAAATTAAATTTACTGAGTTTGTATTTATGTATATAGTTGCTTTTTTGAAAGAAGAGAGGAAAAGAAATCATTATTTTTTTATTCACTATACAAAAAATATTTGTATAGCAAAACAGAATGCAGTCATGACTTTATTGACAAAAATATTTTAATTTCAAATTACACATTGCATTTGTATTAAAGGGTAAATTGATAACAGTTAGAAATAATAAATTAAATATAGTTAAATTATATCAATATAAGTTAATTTAAAAGTTAGTTTATAGCAGTTCCACCTTTAATGTATACACACACTTTTAAAAAATATATTAAAGATATATTTTTTATAATGCTTGATTCTAATGTTTTTCCTAAGTTCCAATAAAAACCTAATCCATATTAAGTAAATATGCAATATATTATAAATATTTAAGTTTTATAATAAAAATTACACTATAAAATCTAATACAGTATTTTCTTACTTGTTTAGCATGCTGCCGGTCTAAGTCAGATACATTATTTACATTAGTATTTTTCCATTGTGAAGCAATGATTTTGAAAACATCACCTCCACTATTCAACAAATTTATCAATTTCTGATCATTTGAAAGATGAGCTAATAGTCTAATTTCAAGTTGAGAAAAATCAGAAGCGAGAAATAATGCTCCTAAATATTAATATATTTTAATAATCAATTAATTCTTAATATGTCATAATTAATTATTAAAAAATTAATTAAAAATACCTTTGAATGGAATAAATGAACGTCGTAAGCTAACTACGAGAGAAGAGCTTTTTATTGAAGAAGTTTTGTCATTGTCATGAAATAATTTAATATCAAAATCTCTTGGAATTGTTTGTAAGCTTGGCTCAAACATGTTTATTCTTCCAGTGATAGTAAACATATCACAATGACTATAAAGACGAATCATGTCAAGATAATGAGTATATGTTTTTTTCCTCAAAAGTGGAAATACAACCTGTAAATTATAATTAATTTTTAATAAAAAATTAATTTAAAAACTTATTTTATATGTGTGAGATCCGGAATTTTTACCGATTATTTGCCGATTAATTGTCCAACTCCTTAATTGTACTTACCAACAATACAGAGCACAGGGTGCTAAATTTTATTTTATATAATAATATAAATTTATTAGATATAATGTACAAAACAGTGGCTTAAGCAGTACAGTTTGCTATGCAACAGTTCAGAAACAAAAATTAATNGTCACGTGACCATTCTCCCACGACAAACTTATAAAAACCCCTTCCTTCCCCTTCTCGGGGGAATCGTTCATCAGCCGCCAACCAAAAGTTTCCTAAAAGTGTTCTACAACAAATATATCCTAAACCTTTTAAAATTGTGTCCTAAGAATCAGATCACCTGGATATCCAAATCGATTTTCCTACCGGATAAAGAAACCATCAAGAGGTATGGAAATAGTTTTTGTGAACTCTCTCTCGGCCCTTCGCGGTTTAGGGACTCATAAACTTTCCTTTGTAATTATAATATCCATGTAGCTAATAAATCGTTGTTTTCTTGTTAAATTTTGCCTCCTCGTTTGCTTGTATATCGCCTATCGTCTTACCGACGCACTCCTCCCTCCGCCACTCGACCCAAAACATTAAAGCCCATTACAGCGGGAAAAAGAATCCTTCCATCCATCCTGACAGTGAAAAGGTTTAACAACCTGTTGCCGAATCGGGAGACCTACCCCCTTCCCAGTGGTTCACATATTGGTGTTGAGGAAACTGCCATTATACAACGGGTCCAAACTAAGGAGAATATGTGAACCACCGGGAAGGGGGTAGGTCTCTGGATCTGGCAACAGGTTGTTAAACCTTTTCACTGTCAGGATGGATGGAAGATTCTTTTTCCCGCTGTAACGGGCTTTAATGTTTTGGGTCGAGTGGCGGAGGGAGGAGTGCGTCGGTAAGACGACAGGCGATATACAAGCAAACGAGGAGGCAAAATTTAACAAGAAAACAACGATTTATTAGCTACATGGATATTATAATTACAAAGGAAAGTTTATGAGTCCCTAAACCGCGAAGGGCCGAGAGAGAGTTCACAAAAACTATTTCCATACCTCTTGATGGTTTCTTTATCCGGTAGGAAAATCGATTTGGATATCCAGGTGATCTGATTCTTAGGACACAATTTTAAAAGGTTTAGGATATATTTGTTGTAGAACACTTTTAGGAAACTTTTGGTTGGCGGCTGATGAACGATTCCCCCGAGAAGGGGAAGGAAGGGGTTTTTATAAGTTTGTCGTGGGAGAACGGTCACGTGACTGATTGTTGTGAGGTAAAAGGTACACTGATGGGTCACAGTTGTTCCCGGGACCATGCTAACTATCAACTTAGCAGTTGGAATGTGGGATTAGTTTCGAAATGAATGGATGTTTACTTCAACAGGAAGAAAAATTTTTTTCCCGTTAGGTTTCACTTTAGGTTAAAGGAAAATTTAATTAGATTTTTAGGCAAATACGGGACAATTAATCGGCAAATAATCGGTAAAAATTCCGGATCTCACATTCGTACTACACTTCACCTTATATAAGGCTAGATTAGTTTTCCTCCATTCTAATATAATATCAGGTAATGGGTGAAGTGATCTTAATTTTAACAAATGTTGTTTGGCTGTGCTTTGATGCTGAACTGTTTTCCTAATTTTATTATTTAACTTATCAGTTAGAGTTAATTTCAGTTCTTTGAAGAGAACCTGATGATAAATATAATAATTTAAGTTTTATAAAATTATATAAAATGTTTTCACTATATATTTTTTAATTAAAATTTATACATTATATATTACTTTAGATATTTCTTGAGGAGAATTTAAGGAAAACTTATGTTTTGCTAAGTTATGTGCTTCATCTGTTAATTTTTGAAGATGATTTTGTAACGTCTGTTGAAATTGTTCTGCTCTGTCAGAATCAAATCCTAAGCCATTTAATTCCATTTTTCCTAGTATCAGTAATGTAGGCATTTCAATCTCTGAAAAAAAATCAAATTATACTTAATATTATAATTAAAATAAATGTGGAATAAACTTTTTATCAAATTTATATCAATTTCTAAAGTTAATATTAATTACATTAATTAATTATACTTATGTACAATGCAATATACTTTATGAAAATAAGTAATCTACAAAACTGTACTCGACAGCTGGAACATTTAAAATTCTTATGCTCAGAAGATAAATGAACAAAAATGTACTGACAAAGTGGTTCAGAAAAGGAAATACTAATATTTGACAAATGATGCTAGATATCAACAATAAATTATTTATAATATTTTGTTGTAATTCCTTATTAATAACTCATAAAACATTCTTTGTAAATAAAGCTTAAAAAATTATAATATTGAGATGAATTCTTCAATTAATCTTTTGGAAGTTTTATAAAGATGGTGTTTTGTAAGTTATACATTGATTAATTAATACTGAATAATTTAATACTAATCAATGCATGACTTACTAACACCATATATTTTTAAAAAAAGAAGAGAGTGAATTAGTTTCAGTAAAATAAGAAACTGAAGGTGTATATAAAACTACATTATTTTTATATGTTGCTGACTAATTAATTATGTATGTGCTAAATTACTTAAAATTATATAATCTTTATATAGTTAATATGTATTTAATAATTATTGTATTTTACATTATACAAGATGCTCCTCCATTTTAGCACAAAATACTTAGTATATTTAAATCATCTGATGCCTTTGGCACTCAGTCAAAAATTTTTTTTTATTGTATTATGTTTAAAAATAAATAAATAAAATTAGAATGCACATTTATTTATCAGGATAAAAGAGGAATTAAAAGAAGTCATTTACAATTAAAATTTACCATTAAAATATTCTACATGAATTCATGCAAAAGGTGCTTGGCTATGGCAAAATATTATAATAAAAATAATAATGCATTTAATTAAACATTAACATTTTCATTCAAGGTTTAGGGTGGCAAACATTGGCATGTCAGAAGACATCATCTGGCACATAATGTATCATATGATTTGGGTTTATCACCTGTCTTTTTCAATTATCTTCTTTACATTTACTCTAATTAAAGCATATTCATTTCATTTATTTAAATATTGTTATTTGAAGTCTAAAACTGCAGCACACAAACATTTTTAAAGATAAGTACGCTTGTTATATGGCATATGGGTTCAAAAACGTTTCCCATTCCTGGGATACACAGAGATTACCTGTAGCCTATCAAAAGCATTTAGGGGAATTCACTAGCCTTTGGGATATTGCAACCTCACATATAAGATACAAGGTGATTATTTTTTACCTTTTTTTAAGAGAAAAGTTGCATCTTATATATCATAAAATATGCTAGTTAATTTAAATAAAATAAAGAAAAAATGTACACGATTTTCCTTCATTTAATTACAAAAATCTTTTAAAACTAATACGTATTAGAATATACTTTTATGTATTGTCTAATTTTAAGAATTTTTCTTAATTTTTGTAACTTTATATATATAGTAAGACCCCGCTTAACATGGGGGATGCATTCCTAGACAACAAAGTGCTAAACAAAACAGTGTTAAATGAGTTCATTTTAACATAGAATAATTAGGGATAGGAGAAAACGCAACAAAAAATTTAAAAATTTACTTTAAGTTATTTTTATAATAATATATGTTATTAACATAAACACATGCACACAGAAATGTATAATAATATATTAATTAGTTCATTTTTTCTATATTAAAGTTCTTTTTTTGTGATAAAGGTCCTGACTTTTCTGAAATTCTTGGTTTTTTTTTTTGCAATAAAGCTGTGAAGTTTCATTTGTCACTTTTTTTTCTTTCCTTAAGCAAATGTCAGTAGCAGAAGCTTGCAACCAAAATGCCTCATTTTGCTTTTGCACTCCTTTCAAAATCTGGATCATTTGCTACAATTTGATCAACAATTTCGGTTATTGTTACCAAAGTTTTACTAAGGAAAACTGTAGAAAAATTTTTTGGGTTCTTTGTTTTCAGAATCACTATTTTCCAGTTCTACACATATTCCTTGTTCAGCCAGTTCTTGAAGGTCATCGTTGATAAGACTCTCACCAGAAACCTGTGGTAACTCCTCAATATCTTGTTCGTCTACATCTCCTAATCTTGCTGTATCGATTAGGTTGAGTTTAATCAACCTAACGATACAGTGATAGGCTCTTCTTGTTGAGAATTCTTGGATACCTTTAGCCATAACTTCTTTCATGCTTCGTTTATGCATTTATTGGTTAATTCTTGCCAAGCAAAGCCGATATTGCCTATGGCATCCATGATGTTATGTTTTTTCCAACATTGCACCAAACAAACATAGATTTAACCTTTTAAACCTTTTAAACCTTTTAAACATAGATTAAACCTTTTTCTGATTGGTTCATGTTCGTAAATGATTGTATTATGTACGAATCAATAAAATGCCACGATAATTTAAGTCAGCATAAATTTTGAGCTTTTTTTTTAGGCTTTGAGTAGACGGCATTATATCGATTCAGTGTTAAGTGAGGCAGCGTTAAGCAGGGTCTTATTGTATATTAAATCAATATGAATTTAAAAGAAAAAATTATTTTTATTTTACCTGTAAATGCTTTTGTTAAATGTCTGTCCTCCATTTCTTTGAATAATTTATCCATTAAATGAAAACATAAAAATGCTTCAATAGCAGCATTATGTTTCTTGTTTGAATTATTCATTATCAAACCCTGACTTCTTACACTTGAACTATTCTCAATAACTAAGCAAAACAAAATCAATTCTTAAAATAAGATAAAAAATTATTAATAATTATGATTAAAAAAATAACTCTTTTAAACTCTTTTACTGAATGTAGTTTCATTGGATCTGTTGCTTTTAGGCCTAAGCCTAATGATTTCAATTTTTCAAGATACAGTTTTTACAAACTGTAGAAAATTCTATTATGTTAATTCTATTATAAATCCTTTTATTCTATTATGAAACGAAAATTCATAATACAATAAAAGAATTTACATTCTTGTTTAAAATTTTGTGTTTATGAACATTTTAAAAAATCCTGAAAATGAAATCTAATAAGATCAAAAACTTTTACTAGTTAAAATGAACAAGTTCTTAAAAATGTAATTGTTGATTTTTAATTATACAGTATAAGATAAAAGCATCTATTTCATTTATTTACTCTATTTCATTAATTGTGGAATTTGTTACAATTTGTAAACACTTACTTACCATCTAGCAATGATTTATTTTGAGGTAAATAAGAATTCACCATTTTTTGCAAGGATTTTTCCTTTGTTCCAGAATCCAGTAACCAATCAGCAATTTTTGGATCTTGCCATTTTGTTTTTCCACTAGAGTCAAGCAAAATTCCATGCTTTTTGCAAAAAACTTTATATTGCTCTTTTATATCAAATGCTATCCCAATTCGCTTTCTTTCTGTAAATTCCAAGATATGCTGAACTTCTCTAACTTTTTCATCTGTAGTTAGCCTATAATCTGTGATCAAATAAAAAATAATTTTTAATAATCCAGAAATAAATCATAAATTTAGAGAACTAAAAAAATGTATTTTTCAAAACCTGATGTGAACAGCCACATTTCTTCTGAATGACAAGGACTAAGCAGACAAGAATATCATCCAAAATATTTTATTACAACTCTTAATGTAAATGTATTTGGGCTATAGCCCCTCTTAAGTTTATTGTATCATTGTAGCATGGGCTAAATGCTACAATGATACTTAGTAAACTATTATTTATATAAGAACAAATGTTCAAACTCTACATACTTTTATATAACAAAAATAACAAAATTTTTCATAAATACCATTTTTTTGTAACCAATTTTGTAACTGATATTCTCATCTGCTTAGTCCTTGTCAGTCAGAAGAAATATGGCTGTTCACATCAGATTTTTAAAAATACATTGTTTAGTTCTCTAAATTTACAATGCAATAATCAATGTTATCCCAACCCATAATAGAGAGATATAATAATTATTATTATNCAGATTATGAATTATAAGCAGAAAAATTATTGATATTCTTTTGTATTTAATTAATTTTGTTTCATGGATGAATCCTTGAACAGCACTAATTTTTATATAAAATTTTTATAAAGTTGATTTTTAAACAATGATAATATGTTAATTATTTAGTTTTTATTTAAAAGTATATATCGTAAAAAGTATGATTATATTTAAGCATATGATAAATATTTTAGGTAAAGTTAGTGAATCAAGAACAAGATTTGGTTCTTCTTTTAAAACGTTTGCCGTTAACTGATGCAGAATTAAAAATTGTTTGTGAAAGAGCCGATCAATTGAGAGATGGGCATCTGGTTTCGAGAGGAGATGCACTTCTTCCACTTATGCTTGCTAGTTATATTTTTGATGCTCTAGTTTTATCAGGTAATTCTATACTTTTTATAATTTAATATTCCAAATCTTTATATTCTTATTAAGTTAGAGACTGTCTTAAAGAAACCATTTCCAAATTTATTTTGATCAAAGCCTGTTTCTCTTGACAATTATAATTTTTGCCAGACTTTTAAATGAAAAAATGCCAAATTATTGTACACATGCACCCAAAACTTAGTTAAAGCAGGTTCTGGCAGTAAATATATTTTGAATTGTTATATTCTTCTAAAAGAAATTAATACATTAAAATCATAGTTTGTCTGGAAATTACAGCATTCAACACAACGTAAAAATGTAACACTATTGAATACTATTACTGCAGTACTAATGTCAAAATCTCACAATCAAAAGATGTCTAAAAAATGTTCGCATGCAAATGATCAAAGTGCCATATTTTTTATATCAAGTTAATCTAATTATTTGATTTACAAGTATACTTATTAAATTAATAATTTCATTAACAATTGTGTCTAGTAAAATTTCTTGTGCAGTCTGCAAAAAAGTATGAAATCTTAAGTGTATAATATTTGCAGCTTGAGAGAGCATTTTAAAATAATTTAAACAAAAAATATACCATATTTACTTGAATAATCCATATACTTTTTCCAAAAAGTCAGTATGTGCAATTTATTTGAAACAAATTTGGTGATGCAACCCACAAAGTACAGGGAGCTTCCAGTTAATATGCATTTTGTTTACTTTGGTAGTGATAAATATAATCAATAGTTACAAGTATTATTATTAAATGTTTTGGTGCAACTAATTGTGTGAAAATAAGGATAAATAAAGTAAGTTAAATGTATAACTGAGACTGACAGTAAATAATCTTTATACCTAAATTACCTTTTAGTTCAAGCTATTGGTATATTAGCAGTATTTAATCTTTGATTCAAATTGAACTATATACTGAAGTCTTACTTTCATTTAATTCAGTATAAGATACATTACCACAAATTGCAGATAAGTTTTCTTTATCAGATATACAATAATCTATTTTTTCCTTGGTATTTTTATTTTTTAAAACTACATTTGTAAACTGAGTGCTATCATATTAAATGCTACTAAATAGCAAGAATGAATGTTGATATTGTGTTATAACTATAAATTAGTAAAATTTGTCAAATGTATAATAAATTAAATTAATCAAGTTTTTTTAAGATACTGAATTAAATCCAGTATCTTAAAAATTATCAGAGATTATTCAAGTAAATATAGTAATTTAAAATTATAAAATTAATGAAAGATTACCAATTTCATTTGATGAGAAAGGCAAGTAAAATATATTTCTATTATTCCAATAAACACATATTCCAACAACATTATTTTTTTCACTATAACAATCATTTGTTTCTGTAATAGAATGTTTAACTGAAAAATTTTCTGAATTATACAAAAATTAAAAACATTAATTAATTATTCTTCTTACCTTTTTGCATATTGCAACCAATACCTTTGAGACAATGGTTATACATTATTTTCTCACAGATGAGACAAAAAGAAAACTTTGTTTTCTTTTTCCATTCAGAGAGAAATTTTTTAAACAATTTATAATTATTGCCAACATCAATAACTTGCAAAAGTTCTCCTGAACTTAAGTATATTTTCTCATACACATGTGAATTTTTAGATATACTAGATTCAATTTCTTCAGTAAATAAATTGTTGAAATCAATATATTTTATTTCATTTCTTCTACACATTGAATATTTATTATTAACACATGCTGAAATGTTGGTATATATTTCTGATTGATTACTACATCTCAATGTTAATATTTTAGGTGGTGTTGGTAAAATACAATCATCAGAAGAACTGGCTGACGAGTAATTTGGTGAATGACAAGATCTAATCATATTTTCTAACATTGATTTATGTCGATTGTGAGATATATTAGAAATTGGTGTACTAGTAAGAATTTCTTTGTTTTGTGACATTAATTTAGTAAATTCTTGTAAAGGTGATTGCATTAGTATAAAATTTGTAGCAGAAGTGTTTAAATTTTTTTCACACATATTTATTTTACTGATTAATTTGTTACTTGAAGAACTGTTAGTTATTGAATTTTTTTCTGAGTCAGTTTGTAATTCAACCTCATTGTCACAAATGTTTCCACTATCAATACTAAAAACACTATTGCTGTTTGAATTTAATTGACAATTGTCATCATCTGTTGTACTTTTATCAGAAAACAATGTTAATGATACATTATCATCATACCATTTAATATTTGAATGACGACGTAAATTACTTGATAAGTCACATGTTTTGATTATGATGTTAGTTTCTGTTATATTTTCTGCTGATTTTGAATCTTTATTATTACAAATTGAATTTTTTACCAATTTGTTACAGTTAGATACTGTAAAAACATTTTGCTTCTGCAATAAACTTTCTGATTTCATTTTCTCAAAAAAAACTTCATCTTCAAATAAACTTTTGTCAGAAAGTAAACAATTATGACTAAATCCTTTTCCAGAGTCTATTGAATATCTCTGATTGTTATTGCTTTCAATAGCATTTAACAGTTTCTCAGTTTGTGATTCTAGTAGAAAAGAATCACTTATATTAATAATATTTGAATGATATACGAATGTTTCAACTGGCTACAAAAAAGATGAAAAAAAAAAAAAAACTCGTATCAAATGAAAAAAAAGCTAATACTCCTAGTAAAATAGACTGTACTCTACAACTTTTATTTCTAGCCTATGTCACTGCTTATACAACATAATAGTTTTTTTTTTTTTATTTTACTTTCTGAAGCACTCTAGCTGCTTTGGGAGGCCAATTAGATGCCATAAGAGTATAGAAATACTGATTATAATGGCTAAATAGCCAGAGAGTTTAAGGTGTCGGCTTGCCACTCTCGGAGATCTGGATTTGGATCAAATTATCAGGAATGTCTCATGGTGGTCTGACCTGTGTATGTTGAATCCTTCCCCATTATATCATACACATGTTTGCATTTGAACATGTATACTATAATATCAACAAATAAGACAAAATTATCAAACATGTGGACAAGATATAATATTAATAGATTGTCCACTTAAAAGTAACCAGTTACCAACAAGTTCATAGAATTTTATAAAAAGTATATGTCTATAGCTTAAATAATTACCATATATTTAATTCTTCAACTCTTTGAAACCATTATTTCATTTATAACATATTTTTATTTCATTATTAACTAACTATAATTTTATATAATTTAAAAAAAAAACGTAAAAAAATTTATTGCTAATATAATAACAGATTTTTGTTCACTTTCATAAATAAAGCTATAATCTTTAGCTCTGTATTAGGGAAAGTAAGCAAAATTTATCAAATATTTTTGAGTGTAAATTCATTTTAAACATTACAACATGGGAAAGTAATAAAAATTTTCAAACAATAAAATATTCCATTTATCAAATTAGTCATATCAACATATTAAAATTAAAAGGAAATATAAATTACTTTCATGAAAAAAATTTTGTATCAAAATTTTTAAATTGTAACTAATAAAAGCAAAACAACCACTGAATAAATGAAAACATTTGCAATTTATCACATCTATATAATAAGATTAATAATTTTCAGAATATTTTAAAATTAACATTTTTGTCACTCATTTTATGTTTTATTCCACAATATCTTCTGCATTACATTGCATCAGATTCAATTTATAATGCATTAATTAACCAATGGCATTTGTCAACTTAAAAAGAAAAGTTTCAATATGACATTTTCAATATCTAAGCTTTTATAAATAGAATTCATTGTTTATTTTGAATATACCATTTTAATTATTACATTAATTATTTTTGTAAGAGTTTTTATATCTTATTTTACTTTCCACAATATATAGTACAAAAAAAAAACTATAATTGTTACATCAAAGATTTCTATTGATGAAGCAGACAGATAAAAAAAAACAAAATACCATTTAAAATAAAAAAAATATACATATATACTACTTCCATCTAGTGTCAGGAAATAAAAGTAAAAATATTTAATTAATTGAATATTGTTTTTAAAGGCATCCGTATTTAATATAAAGGGAAAAATTACAGAGTAAAGTAACAGATTGCGATTAGTTATGGATGGAATTATAAATGAAGAAAAATGTCCAAATTTTGTTTAATTGGAAGTAAATGGAGCGTGACGCTTTACTTATATACGCTTTTATTCATTATATGGTAATTTTTACGTGAATGATCCCTCCGCAAAGTTATTATCGTCTATCGTCTAACGTTTACAAAGCTACGGTTAGTACAATAAATAACCGCTAGATGCCAGTTACACCAGGAGGGTTTTTAGGGTAATAAATCTGCAGCGCCATTTTGTATTGTATCATCTCTACTGTTATCAATGCTGAATGCTTTTCTCTCTCGCTCTGTTTGTATTTATCTCTTTTTTCTACTTTAACAGGGATGCTCCAATGTAATAATAAGAGAAATATCGGAAAATCTGTTAGAAGTAATGGATACTCTAGACATTGAACATTGCAGACGGGATGTCCGCCCATTCCTGCTGAGAGATAAGACAAATGTCGTTGGATAAAAATGGACAATCAATAAATGACATTAAGGATAATAAATTAACATTGGGAATCGTTTTCAATGATTCTTGCCATCGAAACGTTTGTTTCGGATTAAAAACTACGCTAGTGTTTACGGACATAAAGCTGATTTTGTGGAGAAAATGATGAAAAATGTCCATTATATTCAATTTTTTTAAATATTATACAGTTAAAAAGTCATGCTTAATCAACCATTTTCGACAATTTAGGCAAAAATTCACGCTAGAATTACCATTTAAAGGCAATTTAAACGTGCATTTAAATAGGATAATTGTCAGAAAAGATGTAGTTACACCTTCGAGTTAACAAGAGAACTGGTTTTATGAGTCATTTTCGTGTATTTTAAAACATTTTTTACAAATGAAACAAAAAAAAAAAATCATTAAAAAAAGTGATTTTTAAAATGTTTTTCCCTCCTCTTTCGTTAAAATGACGTTTGTTCCTTACTATAAAAGGAAATGGTTTAAACTCTTTTACCTTTTACACCTATTTATATTATAGACAATATATAACTTCTGACAGGTACGGGTGTGGAAGTTAAGTATAAAAGAGAACTACGTGTCTTAAAAGATACTTCATACGAAGCTTTATCAGCTGGACATTGGTCAGTGATAGGTTATTTAGGGCAGGAGGTGGCCAGCGACGTGGAACGCTCTACTGGACACTGTAATTGGAGCATTTTACGACTTCGTTCCCTCCCCATAAAAGTATGAGTCATCTCTAATGGGAAGCATGGCTGTGTTTTACAACACTCCAGCGCCTCACTCACTGTTTTTACCTTCTCTGCAATTTGACTTACATTTATGACTTCAACTCCTGAATACGGAATTAGAGATTATCTCTTCGTGACTCGCCTTTCTTATTATGAGAAAAAAAAAAAACAATTTAACAAGAATTTTTGAATTATTCAACGTAGAATTTAACATTCTGAATACACTCGCGAGAGAAATTACGAGAGATTTTACGATAAAAAAAAATTTATGTATACAGAAAATATTTCCAAGTAGCGCTATCAGATGGCGCTGATAAAATTAATCAAGAGCTTTGACATAATTGATTAGGATCACGTGAGAAAATCAAGAATGATTGGTTAAAATTTGAGTTTGAACAGCCATTAAGAGACGAGGACGGTAGCATCGCGTGATTGATTGGTATCGAGCGGAATTTAATGTCGGAAGTGATTTATAAAAGGAACATCTGTTAAAAAGATTCTAAAATCCAACAAACAAACACATTTGTCTTAAAGTCTCAGTGAATTAGCGAATAGATTATGTTGCGGCTTAAAGATGGACGAACGGTGTGAAATTTCAACCACAATCGCCCACAGATAAATTCTTGTCTCCTCCCTATTACTACAACCAATCGGGAGCTGGGGGCGGGATTTATGGGAGGACGGTTGACAAGCGACGTCAAATGAAAATTGAGATTGAGGAGAAATGGGAAGACGTTCGTATGATTAATGACAGTCCTTAATATGGAAATTATTTAATTTCTCCTATTTAATATTGTAAATTTCTCCCGTTTAATTAATTATGTCAGTGAATGATATAAATAGAGTTCGCTTCGGTCATTAATTATTTTAAACTTTGACCTCAAAATTAAAGTTTCAATCAACACACTACTAATTAGTGTAAATTTCGTTAATAGATTGGATCAATTCTTCTTCTTTACGCCAATTTATACACATAAAATTTGATTTAATTACTACAATTCTTTTAAAATTTATAAACTAAATTATTATAATTAAAACTATGTGAGATTCATAAATTATCATCGATGCGGATGGGAAAATAACTTTTAAAGTATTGATTTTTATTTATTATAAGTGATAAAAGTTATATTATATTATAATACATAAAAATAATATTTAGTGAATATTTTATGTTAGTGTTTTACAATGAAAACATTTAACTTGTACCGGTTTTATTGTAATAAAATTTGACGAATTTTCTAAATTTAAACCTACTTTCTTAAAATTTACATTAAAATAAGCAAATTAAATATTTTAAGTTAATAAAACTGATATAAATAGCTCTATGGAAATAATTTTATTATTATTTTTTTAACGCTATGAATTATTATTATTATTATTATTATTTTAAATATTTATAAAAATTAGCATTAAATTTTTAACAGGCATATTTATTTTTCATTCTTATACAGAATTAAAAATATGATAAGAGAAACAACTTATCTGCGAAAATTTGCTATAAGAAAGACTCAGGTAATATCTTTTATTTAATTTTATTTTCTTATAATTTGACATGTATATCTATAAAGTTCTATGTTATCTAGAAAATTCATAATGTTTAACTAAAAACTTAATAAGTTAACTTAAACGAATATTAAACTAATTATTTTACAGGTAATTCTACCTTAACTAGCACTCTATGACTTAAACATAAAGGTTGTTTTTATATTTATTGATATATGACTCTTAAAGTCGGGTTATTTAATTAACGATGAGTTCAAACTATTAAAATTATTACAATTTATTAAGTAAATTAACCAGAAATAAAATGGAAAACAAAATTTTCAAAACTTGCTTTCGTATTTTGAACTTGTTTACGTTTTTTTTAAATTGTTGCTCATAGATATAAATCATATATAAATGAAAAATGGCGTAAGTTAGTGTGAAAAAAACGGAACTTTGGGAGATTGCACAAAGTTTTAATATTTAGAAAACGAAAACACATTTAGTGAATATGTTTGAAAGCGAGCTTTAACAAAAGAAGGTGGTTTACAATATACGAAACCTTTCTTTCAACTTTCAACTGATTTTTTACTTGTTCTTTTCACAACTGCGGGGGTGTAGAGCCTCCTTTGTCCCATTCGTCATTCGAAATGCACTTGATTTATTGCCGAGGGGAGAGACCTGAACAGTTCCTGTCTTTTCTGGAAAAACTTTCGTTCACCGAAAATCTCCATTGCAACTATTTCCTTTCTTAAATTCGAAATCAAAGAAATGAGATCAATAAGTATATTTTATTGTTTATAACGTTCTTAAGTGGATAATAATGATAATAATAATAATAGTAATTTTTAATACAATAAGCGGAAATGAAAGTAAAAATAACGTACTGACTAATACCAGATGGATGTTTAACTTTAACCCTTTGACAAAAAGCAGCTGTGAAAACAAAGTCTCTAAATATAGTTAGGAGTAAATATTTCATCAACTTTAACCTTTTATTTAGCCTATAGAAACTTAAAAATACTTCAAAGTAAATAAACGGATTTTATATGTAAAAAAATTAAAATATATAAAATCTATTTCAATTACCTCAATATAATTAATAGGAAATATGTTCTTAAAGAATAAAATAAAATTATTATATGTTATATAAATCATAAAAATTAACTTTTTTTTTTATAGATATTTTAAAAGAATAAACTAGCAGAATTTATAAAATTAAACACATTAGGTAACAATGAATCTAAGCCTATGCTATAAGCTATATAAACCTTAAGACTTTGTGTGTTCTAGACATAGATTTATATACAGTAATATAATTTAAAATTTTTTTTTTAAACCGTAATGTCTAATTCTGAAGAATATTTAGATTTATTTTTATAATTTTTTTACAGGCTATTCTATTTATACAATCCACAAGATTCACAAAAGTTTAGACTACTCATTAAATAATTATTGGCTTATGAATGGGATTAATCATAAAAGTAACGGGTATCTATCACTATTTAAATAGATACTTAATTAGTTAATTAAATTAGCTTTGTTTTCATTTAATTAACTAAAATATACGCTGTAAAGGGAGCCATTTATAACGTTATTTTAGCTAATTTAGTGAAAACAAATGTATTTAAATTAGTAAAATAAATTACATATAGTAGTAAATTAGAAATAAAAAAAAAGTATTAATTAAACTAAAATGAAAAACAAAAAATTTATGAATATAATTATCAATTAATCATTTTATAGAGCAAATAAAAATGATATAAATTTTCATTTTAAAGCAATTATAAATCAATAACTAAAACAATATTTTCTAGAATTATATTTGCATTCGAATTTAAAAATTCGTATGATCAGATAAGATATAGCCTAGATAAGTAAATAAAATTTGTTATCAAAAAAGAATTTTTATGATATCAATAATTAAGGCTATAGGATTAAGTAAATGTTTTTCCTTTTATTATTGATAACACGATGTTTGATAATGTGTTTATATCTTTATTCCTTTTAAAATATGCAATGATAATGTTATATGCATGACTATAAAGTAGATAAGATAAACAGAAAACAGTCATTTTTAAGCTAAATCTTCAATAACAAAATATAAATTAATTAATTAATTAACATTGTGATCATTTTTATGCAAAAAAAAGTATTTATTATTTAAATTTTTTTTTGTTTTTTAAGGCTTTAATATTTTAATTAATAATGTCCTAAAAGTAGTATAATCTATACAGAATTATTACTCTAATTTATTAAAATATTTAGAAAAAGTTGTTAAATTCTTTAATACTATCTAAGGCACAGTACAATACCCAAAATAACAGGAAATTCATTGCTCAACAGCTACAAAATGTACAACATTCAACAGATTCAAGGTCAACAACTTTAGAGTAACTCTATAAAACTACTACACATTCATTCATAAGTAAGGAAGGAAGGAAAATACAAGGACACAGTCACGTTTCAGCACAGTATCTCGAATATTTCCTTTCATTTTAAATTCTACTACATAATTTACTTTAAAATACTTTCAATAAAGAGTGTATAAAATATCATACGACAGCTATTTATTTTAATATTTTTACATCATATAGATTAGTGTTGTGTAATCTAAATTGGAAATTTAGCTATTGAATTAAAGTTCTAACGAGATTTACTTATCGTATTAATAATTGTATTTTAAACAAATAGCATGTATTAAGATAATAACAACAATAGAAAATACATATAATCTTATTAAACAATTAGGCCTGTTTATCATTTATTCTTCGTTGATTAAAATGGAAAATAAAGTCTTGTCGTCTTATCCTTGAACTTTATTGATTTTTAAATAAACAAAGTTGTAAATTTTAACATAAATCGACCTTTAACTCTTATTTTAAACTAGTTAAATAATATTTTGAAAAGTTTTTAATATTTATTTTCTTTAATAATTAGGAAATTTAGATAAATATTTAGTATTGTAAGGTAGTTCTGTAGTTAGATTTTCTGATTAAATAATGACTTATGTATGAGTTATAAGTAGAAGTAGGGCATTTAGGCAATAAAAATCTTAAATAGTTATAAAAATTTTATAAAATAACTTATATCCTATAAGTTATCATTCAATATAAGTTATAGGTTAAGAGTTTTATTGCCTAGATGTCTTAATAAATAACGTTAAGTATAGTCTACAAATAGAAAATTTTGTTTTATATTTTCTAGAAGGACAAAAGAATAATTTTATTTGCAAATTTATATTTTAATAGTTAATTTTAATCTTTAAATTAGGTTATTTAATACTTTTAAAGATGTGATAAATTTGATCGATCTTGGTATTTTTTTTTTAAATTAATGGGTATAATTTATACATAAAAGCAAATTATGATGTTAATAGATTATGTATATATAAACCTGCAAGATGTATGAAATTCCTATCATCGTATAGCCTGGACATAGAAAAAAGTTTAAGTTTTACCAAAGAAATTAAACTTGTGTAGGCAGTGACTTATCACATTTTCCTTGTAATTCTATACTTTATCATGTGCTTGTTAGTTGCTGTCACCAACATTTTCACGTTTCCTTAAATATATCGAGATGGTGCGACAAGATCATCAAGATCAGGTGCATGATATAATTAGAGAATCGTAAATGGAAGGAAGAAACCACTTCACTTCATGACTAACGAAGAGGCAAGATTGAATCATGAAGAGAACTAATTGAAACTAATCATGTGGTTCTCATTCAGTCGTGATTGGTTTTAATTAACTGCCACTAGGGATGCACTAATCAGAAAAATCTTTTTTGTTCTCGACATTACTGCTTCCTCTCTCTTTAAATGTATAATTTAGATCTTATCTATAACGTGAAGCCGTGTGTTTGATCTTATCTATAACGTGAAGTTCGTATTGTACATTCAAATGTACAATACGAGGAATATAGTTAAATTTCTTTAATTAATAGAGAATGTGAACTACCTGGGAAAAATTTAGGCCGTTCACCATTGCCAAAAAACACCACGAATTGTAAGAGCTCGATTATTATAGCTAGAATTCCATTATTTTGCAACAGAATCGAGAGGCAGTCCTTCAATATATTTCGGCACGGGTAATTGTTGTAACTGGTGACAAAAATAGGTGATATTTCTCTCCCGTTAGCTGTCAGTTAAAGGGGAGAGAGGACAGAAGTATGTCAGTAGTGGACACGTGGCTATCACAATACAACCTCCTGTTCTGTCATCCATTGTTCAATCTTCTAACGCTGGTCGGTTCTGATGTACCAATTCTGCAGGAATCAACCATCGGGAAATAAACGGCTATATTTTACTGGATCGGCTGTAATTGCTGTTTCCTATTTGGTTTGTTCTGCTCTTCTGATCACTTCTGAAGCTTTCATTAAACTGTTTTGCACCGGATTACAGTTAAGGCTCGGATCTAAATAGGGTCTGTGGGTTACTAATGTTTAATTCCATCTGTCTTTGCTTGCATATTTTTATTCCGATCAGCTGGAGTTTAGAAAGTGTTTTTCTATTTTGGGAATTGTATTGTAATCCATAAGTGGATCACCTGGTTTCGGGGTTACTGCATTAGGATACGCAATTGTGAGCACGAATCCCACTTTTGTGACTTAACGGTATTCTTTGCTCCTATACAGAAAGGATGAAAGTAATGGCGCTCTTTAAAATTTCCAGTTATATTTTTGACATATTTTACTAGATTTTTCTTTCATATAAAGCCAGTCAATCCGGAAAAAAGTTCTAGAAAATTAGTTTTCTAGAAGATTTATGTTAGAACTTTTTTTATTTTTTTACTTAAGAAGAGGAGGAACTTGGTTAGAATCATTTCAAGAGTGGCACTAAAATAAGAAAAGACGAGGCACTTGTGGAAAATCGAAGTCATAATTTTCGATTAAAATAATCGATTGAGAGGGACAACGAGAAGTCGGGAGTTTTCATTGATTGAAAAGAAGCAACCCAGAAGTTTATAGTATAATCGCATCAGAGGAATAATTAAGAAAAAAAAATATTGATTAATAATTAAAATATAATTAGCATTTTAAAAAGATTCTACAGAAGATATACGGGGCCGACATAAGGAAGGAAAAGTGAACGTGTAGCTCTGGTCACAGGACCTGTATAGGGGCCTAGCTGGAATCTGTATAATAAAATTTTAATTATAAAGTCTGGAAAATTGATTTATGTAATCCAAAGTGTTTAAAGGAAGGGAGGAAAAATGTGTTAAATCAAGAACCGAGTGTGTTAAGTCAGAAGTTATAGAAAGGCCCAAGAGGCCCTTCTGTATCTTATGGTCCATGAGTGCTTGCTCTTCATAATCTTGTATACAGTATATATTATATATAAACACATATCTACTTCTCTAAAGACAGACAGACATATATATTAGTGAAGATTAGCAATTGTTAATTACAGATAAAATAACATAGGGTAGAAAATTATAGTATAAATATAGTTTATACTTAGAATCTATGAAGGAAGTTATTTGGGACATCCTAACAAATTATATATATTTAATTAAATATTTTGATCTTAATTTAAATAGATAAAATATCATGTATCTACTATTCTTGGTCGTTTCAAAAATAACTCTTAATTTTTTTTCTTTGTTCATAATATTTAACATGATTCCAAGGACTTTTAAACAATATTAAGATAAAGAAATTTCGTATATTTTATTTTCAGAAAGTTCTGTAGACTTAACATGCATACTTGAAAGTTATTTACGGACGGTAGTGTCTAACGGAGACAAGTCGAATAATATTAGAAGAGAAGATTAACAGGTAGATATAATTCAAGAAATGTCGTCATGACAACGACGGGACACGTGACCAACATCTACATCATATTCGGCAGAATTTAATAGACGTCTTCGGTCACAAAGAGTTGGAGAATGGAGCCAAATAAAGTTAATTCAGCTAGCAGTTTCCATGACAACCAACTCCCCCATCGATCCCCGAATTCATTCTGGATGCTTCACCCCTTTGAAACCCCAAACCGTTCAGCCATCTGTCTTCCAGGATGTCATTTTGATCTGCTGATTCATTCAAACGGTAAGTCACGTTTTTTTTTTTTTTTTAAGTATTCTCACGTATCTTTTAATTGATCACCGCATTGATATACCCTGTAAGAAATTCCATCAATAAGAATTTATCTAATTAGTGCACCATCCGATGCTATTCTACAGTTAATAATTTATAGAATCTAGTCAAATTGATTAACGATACATTTATAACTTTTGAATAATTTCCGAAATTTTCGTGCAATACCAGAAAATTAAGAATGCTGTTTAATAAATTATTTACGGATGTACATGGTCGAAATTATTCTTTATTAATTATTTAAAATTTAGGTTAAGAATATTGACGTATTGAATATATTGGATAAGAAATCTCACCTTAATACTACGTACTGTAAGCAAGGCACATACATTAATAAGATCATTTTAAAGTGTGATCCGGAATATATGCTCTATAATATTTATTTTTTATTGTAAATATTAATTGGATGAGAATTAGTTTTATAAAAATTAATTATGCATATTCTAGAGTGCACTTCCGGAAAGGTTCATTGCACTGTTTTACCGTTACGCTATTATAAAATGTTATTCAGTAATTTACATGTGAGGGGTGGAGAAAACTGAATGACAGTTGTAATTATTGAAATAGATCATTTACACTGGAGTAGGTCTAGGTCTAGTAGCTCTGGAGGGATGGTCATTAAGCTTTCTGTATTCAGTTTCCTGCACACTAAAAGTTCTTATTGCTTTATTAAAACTTATGCTTTACAGGTGAGTTTATATATTATAAATTGATAACCTATTATTAAAATTATAATATTATTGAATAATATTTAACTAAATTCTACTTTATTTATCATAGAAAATTTAATTTCAAGCTATTTGTTGATGATGTAGCCGATGTTATCACTCGTCTCTTACAGTATTGTCGATGCTATTTACCACAACAGCTGCTATTGTGATGTAGAGATGGATGCTGGTGACAGGCGGAAATCCCTTTACTTCCAACCAATGAAGAGATGACCTTTCTCTATGGAGTTCGAGAGTCGTTGCTTAGCAACCTCCTCTGGCAGGTATGTCGGCTCCAACAAACATTACTCCTAATAATCATATATATTGAGTTAGGATAGATGCAGAATACCAAATTGCTCAAATTTGAATAGCACTATGAAGGATGATTTTAATGGATATTTTCCTATAGATTTATAGTGCTTCAGGACATTGCTTATCAGTTCTTTTTTAAGGAGAATTCTGCTTCATTTTAGGAAACTTCTTTTCAAGTTTTTAATTTAGAAGCGGGTGAGATACTATTGCCTGAAGGTTTATAGCGGAACTAGGTAAAGAAAAGTTTGAAATCGGCAGAACGTGATATCTTTTGTTAGCGCAATTAGTCTGTCACGGTAAGGATTATACTACACACCAGGAAATGGCGTCATTGTGAAGGACTAGTTAGATATTTGTAAACAGGAAAATAATTGCTAGTTCATTGCAGTTTTTACCCGTTTTTCGAAGTAATTGGATGAAGGACAGGAACAGGAAACAAGTAAGACTCCATTTATCTTCCCCTTTGAACGGAGAAGTTAATTATGGGTTAAAATAACAGGGAACATCACTTTAGACATTTCCGGCGAAATGACGAGAAAAACTGATTCTCAACAAACAACTTTTTAGTTCATCGACCCGAGGCATCATCGAACCTTCTAAATACTTTCGTATAAAAGATAATGGAGAAATAAAACCGTGGAAAATTCTTAAAACAGCGACCGAGATACCGAGAATCATCACAAAGCAGTCGCACCCAAAAACACTTTCCTGTTTTTTCTGTTTTTGTTTAAGGCCTGACAGTTTTATTGCTCTCTCTTTCACTACGAATGGGAGCGAGTAAAAAAGAATAAAAGCAAGAATTCTTCCCTTCTTTCATGAGCCTACCTATAAAAGAGGGAATGACATCCAACACGTTTTAATGTAGTAACACGAGTTGCGTTTGTTGTGACGTTAGTAAAAAGCAGATGTAAATCCGTCAATAGTCGATATTGGCTACGATTGAAAGGCAAAGAGTTTAGTAAACCGTTAAAACCTGAAGTGTAATCCTTCCAAAGAAACATCTGCACGTACAACACTATAAGTAGCTTCACAATGCGGAAGTGTGAAGTGTTTATCACTCTTAACAACAGGGTGAGATGTAATTGCAGCTAACACTCTCCCACATGTTAGTACTTCCAGATGGGTTATTCTCACAACAATCGTGTTTTTCAATCTACTACCCACGATTCATTAACAATTTTAAATAAATTAATCGAACGAAATCCCTATTTTTAGGCGTTCGCTAGGAAAATACACACAGCTGAAAGTTAAACAACACTAAACAAATGGGGTTGATATTTTCTACGATGGATTGGTATGGTACTGATTGGAATGGTGGGTGAATTGTATTGATTCGGATGAGTCATTGGAAACTATGATTGTGGAATAGAGGATAGCAAGGAGTTTGTGTACTCACTGAGTAAATGTCACAAATCACCCTTTCTTCGTCCCTCCAATCAGTACTTGTCAGTAGACGGCTGGAATGACGTCAGAAATGGAAATGGTACAAAAACCCTCTCCCATTGACCCTACACTATAGATAATGAAGTGTTTTTTAGAATACTTATATGAGAATGGCTGGTGCTCAATGGAATAAAGTACAAACATTATTAGAGGCTTTTACGAGCTTATTCAATCGGTTCAACACTTATTACTTAAATTCTACTAAATTAAAAGCGTTTTTTTGGGGGGATTTTTAGTGTTTTTGATGAAAGGATGATGTTTTTAAACCTTTAGATGTATGCTCTAACGACACTTTCTCTTAACTTTTATGCAGTTTTATATTGAAAAAAAATGATAAATAAACTTATAAATACATTACTAAATAATTATTTTATATACTTTTTTTTGAATGTTGTCCAGAACATTCATCTTAACTAAAGTAATACGATGCTATCTTTAAAATAACTGACTATTTATGGTAATGTCTTCTTCATTCAAAAAAAGAATTTACACAAATTCATCATAAATTTCCTTTATATATATAATTTATTTAGTTTTTTCCCTCACTCAAAATATTACTTTAAAGAATAAATTTCGTTTCTAAATCTATAAAATAATTTTTTTTTCCTCTAATAAATTATAGTTTTGTTGGCATTAANTTTCTTAAATTCGAAATCAAAGAAATGAGATCAATAAGTATATTTTATTGTTTATAACGTTCTTAAGTGGATAATAATGATAATAATAATAATAGTAATTTTTAATACAATAAGCGGAAATGAAAGTAAAAATAACGTACTGACTAATACCAGATGGATGTTTAACTTTAACCCTTTGACAAAAAGCAGCTGTGAAAACAAAGTCTCTAAATATAGTTAGGAGTAAATATTTCATCAACTTTAACCTTTTATTTAGCCTATAGAAACTTAAAAATACTTCAAAGTAAATAAACGGATTTTATATGTAAAAAAATTAAAATATTTTTAAGAAAAATATATACAAAATTTCGATTAAATCAATATAAAAAGCTCATCTTTCTTTATCGTAAGGTGCTTAATTAGTGTACATTTTTACGTCAAATTGACGTCATTATCAAACTTTCTCATAAGAAAACTGTAAAGAATGACACTAAATTGACGTCATAATTGTACATTATTCGGACAAAACGAATGCACCTTTAATTTAATCGAAGTTATGGAGTAGTAAATGAAAGATTTATGCAAATTTTTCGAATTTTCAAAGCTTTAAAATCATGTATTTAATCCTTTTTTTAAAAAATATTTTTACTTAAAAAAATTATTATTTTAAGCTATTTATAATGAATAAATAACGTCCTAGCACAACGGTTTTTTTTTAAAAAATATATATATATTTTCTGACACGAATTAATTTGAATGAAATTATCGGAATTTTTTACTACTTTTTAACTGTTAAATGAAAACATTAAAAAGTTTTGACTATTCCCAGATGTTGCATATTCTGTGAAGACAAAGAACAGCGAGTACAGAGTAAGAGCGAATTTGACCTTTGATCCTTAGATATTTTGACCTCTGTCACTCAACCTCACTCTCTCAAGGTATCTGCTTTATTTTAACATGTAAGTTTGTTTTTATTGTATGGTTTTTGTACAAAAATTAACATTATTCAAAGCTTATTTCATACTTACATTATCTTCAATTGAGAATTTCAAATCGAGGGGGGATGTTATATATATAATTAAAATCCACTAAATAATGAAGAATATAGTTTTTTTTTTTCTTTTTTTTTTCATACAGATATTTGCTTATCTTTAGGAGAATAATCACAATTACAGGGCATGGGTGGCCAGATGTTGTAGCCTATAGTTTCAGTCACTTTAACCTGTCTTCCAATGTACTGTCCTTATCACTGATGGAATAATGATGTCAATACTGACAGGAAACTAATAACAAAACAGCAGATGGTGTCTCTACAGCTAGGTCGATTTTGTGAGTTGGGGAAAAAATCTTGTTGGTTTGTAATGACGTCAGGGATAAGCCATTTCACTTTACATAATTGTAAGGAAAGGCTATGTTGAATAAATGCTTCTCCCCCTCGTGCTTACAGGGAACGTCATTGTCAGTTTCTATCAGCAATGTTATCATCAAAATCAATCGAAAATTACATTTACAATATATTTAAATTAAAAAAAATTACTTTAAAAATTATTTTTCTACATATTTTCTATATTTTTCCCCCATATTATACGAACAATACAGGATTAAAGTATGAATATATCAGTAACCCCATGATTAAATCCTTTGCTATCGGTGGCACGCGATAAAAGGTTTTTTTTTACCTCCTGTTGGCACATGACTTTATTGTATATGTAAACACGTGTATCGGTGTAATTCTATATTTTTATTGACAGGTACTCAATTCTTGGCAGTGTGAAGTATGACTGCAACAATAAGGGTGTCAGTAGGATCATTTTACATACAGTATCGGTTGTCGGATGGTGATGAAAGATCTATTCATAATAGGGGCGCGTGTAAACTAGCTCTATATTTATTTTTCCATCCATTTTTTTTTTCGTTTTTATTCACAAAACATAACATTCGCCTCTTTTCAATGGGATAGAGGGGACGTCCAGAAGTACTTATTACGTCATAATCGAGACAACAAATTCCGTCGGGGGTGAATCTGTTTGTTACTTAATGCAGTAGCGAAACCAGATGGCTACAAACTCCCTAACACGCGTACAAAATTTAGTACAGATCGATTTTGCAGTAGCTATATTAGGAAAGGAAAGGGAGTTCTAAAAAATTCTATATAAGGTATCAGCTCGTGTTGTACTGTACTGTACGTAAGACGTGTTTCTATATACAGGATCATACAATGAAACTTTACGGTTTTAGAAGTAAATATTCACTCGAACACCACGTATTATTAATTAAAATAATACTTTTTAGTGTAGGCCTATTAAGCCATCATATTTGCGAGTAGACTTATAGAAAAAAATCATTAGATGAACTAATTTATTAACACGAAAAAAATTTAGAAGTGGCGAGAAAAACAGAATTTTAGCAAATAAGCTATTAAAGAAAACTAGATAAGAGATAATATTGTAAAGTTCCTATCCCATTATCGCCATTTCCTAACACACCCTAACGGGATCATAACGGAAAAACGTAAAAATAGATTAAAAAGACGGATACGCGAAAAATCCATGGGTTAGTTTTTAGCTGGAGGACATAACAAAAGATTATTTGTGGAGGAAGAGATAATAAGTTTTATGTTTTTGCCATTGAATAGAATAAAAAAAAGGAGCCAAGAGGTGTTAATAACTTCTTGAAATGTAACTTATTGAGACAAGTCTAGTCCACTACACCACTCCAAGTGGTAGTGGTTAATAAGGGTCAGCGGTGCATAACGCCACCTGCTGAACGAGGGAAGTGTTTCCTTTGACATTTGATAGTGTTCTATTGTCGCTGATACTAATTAGTTTTTCAATAAACGTAAAATCGAATTCGATACGTATTTATTCTGCATACCTCGATTTAGCGCTATCGATTATTATTCTTCTTTTTTTTTGTCACGTAATTAGAGCGTTTGATGAGTCTCGTACGTTAATTGCGTGATGATTAACCATTAGAGTGTAATGAGTAAATAAAAATGACATAAATCAAGAATAATATAGTGATTAAATTCATCGTAGAGGAAACGGGTGCGAGTTGCGTTAATAACACCATAGATATAAATCAAGCGTATATAAAATCTACACAGGATCACAAACCTATCCATAAGGAGGCGAAAAATAGAATGTCCCAAAAACCATGTAATTTGGACGCAGCGGGGAGGAGAGTAGCTTTAACATCCCTGCCGGATTCAGCTTTTTCTGCTCAGCCTAGCCATCTATAGTATAGGACGAGCGATAAAAACCCATAAACTTGATTTATACCGTCAATACGTCACACGCTGCAGCCCCTGATGTCAGCCAAGTGCCTATATTTATGTACATTGTATGTATGGAGGAGGATAGTGGGTGATGGAAAAAATGACACAATTTGATGCGGACAGTGTCTCTTCTGTATTGACTTGGCCACTAGGCCTTAACGCATTTCCGTTTCACGGCTCCTGTCTCTCTCTCCCAACTGATAAACTGCACACATTAGGAAGGCTAGCCATTTTTTCGTTATAAAGTGCCAAGTTGTAGCATGAAGTCGCCTTTACTGCATTCGTCCGTTCGATATTTGAACGGAGGTAATGGAAAATTGTGCAGGATGATAGGAATTATTTCCAGGAGAAGATATCGTTATATTAAAGTTAGGTAAGTGGATTTAATCACGTTTCTTTCTGGCCTACAACTTACGTAAACGTCGCTCGGGAGTAGTGTTTAATAAGTGTTTAAAAGTGGAGTATCGGATGGATAACGGAGAGCATCCTCCGGAATTCCACGATGTTCAAGGATAGGTTAAACATTTCTAGTTCTACAAGAGAATCTAATCTCTAGAAATAGTCTCAATTGCTCTAAGTAAAAAGTTTTACAGCTTGTTCATGGACAGAATCATCAACAAGCGATCTCCAGAACTGCTGTTTCCAACTCAAAATTCAAATTTATAGATAGACATTTTAATATTGTTTAATCTTTACAGCTAGATAACATTATAGGCCATTAAAATTTAGGTAATTTGCATATCTAGATTGTTCATAAATTCATTAAATCTAGCAAAAAAAATTAGCTAAATTGGGGGCAACTCTGTCCAGAACCAATCTGTCTCATCATTTTTTAAATAACATTTTTTTTTTATCTTTCGTATGTTTTTATCGCATAAAAAATATAAAAAAATTACGCTACTGATACGGTTAAAAATAAACATATCTAATCTTGTTTTTATGGGGGAAACTCTGCTCGAATTTCCCTTTCTACAGAGAAAGTATCATTTTACAAACGTTGAATTCATAACATTTATCGTTTCTATACGGTAGTTAATGAGGTTGAGAGAGTATAACATACGTTTATAAAGTGTGATAGATTAATGATCGGCGTTCCGTGTAATTGTATTGTTGCGTAATTCTAGTAGAGTGTAACATTGACCTTAGGGTGGAAGGATAAGGTCCAGGTGTTTGGCTTCGAAAAACAGCAGGACCACCAGATGTCCGCCCACGCCAGTCAGTTGGCCGCCATCTCTGAATGGACTGCAAGAAATACTTCTCTTTACATTTCGTTTGATGCCATTGTGTGGTTTTTGGCTAACTCCAGAATGCACTTTGGTGTAAGAAATACTGCGACTAAGTTCTCAAAATAGTCCCATTCTCAATAAGGGTTGTAACTGTACTTAGGGTCTAACAAAATTAGATCTCTGGATTATTTTGTGCCCCTTTTTCTGCCAAACTGTAATTAAGTTAGCTTCTGGGGTGTTTTTCTAACCGCTCTGTACAGTTGTAATTATGGAAATGGTTTCTGTATAATGAGGATATTGTAAATTTTAATTACAATACTTAAACGTAATTAAATGACAGTATAAAATAATAAAAATTGTAGAATTTAGCAACAGTCCTCCCTTGGTTTATTTTTTATTTAAATTTTTTGTTTATTTTGGAGTAACTTTTCACTTTTATAAGTACTAGAATTAATTTTCAGAGCGAGTCAGTAATGGGAAACGGTGCGTCTGTATGTCTAAACGGCGTGTTCTGTATAATTTAGAATTTTTTGGTTAAAGTGCAAGGAAAAATATGATTAATGATTTCCATTTATTATATTTGTAGACTTGTGACCTGATTGACTTTCTCCTTATCACCCCTACCAGCAATGGTTGAAACCGTAGGCAAGTTGGGGGAGTTATCCTTTCCTGACCATTCCTACTATCGATCCCCTGACTATGGGGGCTGAGCGGCTTAGCCCTGTTTCTAAAAATACTCTCCCATCCCTACCCGTTTCCCCTTGTGTCGTGTTACTTACAGTTTGGGATCTTCTGAAGTCATACATAAGGTGCCGTTGTCAAGTGCTAAAGATTCGATAATACGAGCCAAAGTAATCTCGAAAAATTGTTTTCAACTCTTTACTTATACTCCAAACTTATAAATAATTCAGAATAAGATCAGTTTTTCTATCTACGTGACGCTATTATTAGCTGATACACGGGATAGTGTTTAATATGATTATACCAGATGATAATTTGATTAAGCTAGGCTCTTAATAATGATAAATCCAATTATCTTCATCGAGTTTTGGGAGTAGTTTTGGAAATATTAAGGTTTAATTTTTTAAAAAAGACAAAAAAAAAAAAGTAATGAGGATAATGCCTGGGACATGGTAGATTTCATTGACAGCTGTTTCGACTTCAGTACGCAATACTCCATAAAACAGTAGAGTTTCAACTTCATTACTGTTCTATATTTGCCACATACTTCAAGGGAAGGGAGACTGCCAAGCTACCAACCAATCAGTGATCGTGTAAGCGATGTCGTCCGCCAGTGCATTCCTCCAGCAAATCCCTTTCGGGTGTGGTGTTCCTGTGCGGACGTCTCTTACGAGTTTCTCGCTCTACCTAAGCTGTAGGGGGAGGACAGGGCGGGAGGGTGAGTGGCCTTGTAAAGAAACGGGTCTGAAATAACCAGTTTAATAATCTGGTGATGAAAATAATTGGAAATTTTGTAAAAGTAAACAATGCTTTTCATTGTATTCGAAATGATGCAGACGAGCTTTGATATTGATTGGTGAAAATGGCGGATGCTTCTGGAGCGAAAGTGTTGCTAAAGGTGTAAGTCTTCGCTCCTCCCCGCATCTGAACTCCCCCATTAAGAAGAAAATCGAATTTATTTAAAAAGTTAACAGGTGAGTCGAGTTTCCATCTTTCTGTAAAATGACTATAAGAGTAATTTTTACTAAAATGCGAGTGGCTTTAACTCATAATTAAAATTACTCAACAAGTTAGTTTTTCTTTTATTTATTTTTTATATATATAAGCTATATATATGGTACATACACACTGGAATGGGAGACCATTAGTGAACGACCTCAACTCTACGAGGTTAGCCGTGGGTTATCGTCGCTGGGGAAGAAATTTTATGGCCGGGCACACTAGTCAACTCTCAGAAGGGGGGATACTCCAAAAACCAACACGTGGTATCCATTAGGACTTTGCCACTAGCCAGCAGGCGTGATGAAAGAAAAAATGTAAGATTTAAGAAGTATCTAACATAATAATTTTCTTTGCAGAGCGAGAGAGAGGGAGAGAGAGAAAGAAAATTCTCTTAAATTAACTCGAAATGGGTCGGTTTTGGTATAATATCTATCGTAGTTATGATGTGGTTATTGTACTTTTTTCTTTTTTTTTTTTATTAAGTTTTTTTAGAGTCGAGTTTAGTAATTTCTTAATAATCTTCATCGTGGATACGCCCACTTTGATTACTCTTTTCTAAAAATGGTTTCATCCATTGATCATAAAGATGGGCTCTCATTTCCATTCTTCTTTGTTAGGACTCATCTATAAACAATTTTATTGTGTATTTTTGTTTTTATTAAGGCTTTCAGGATGGTAACGTTAAAACCATTAAGCATTGTTGATAAGTAGAATCCACGAGATATCAAGTGAATGTCATTGTAAACTAGTGAGATTTTTCTAACAAATATTCTCTCTTGTAAAATTTATTTATTGATTATGACATTTTTTGAAGATTATATTGACAATTCTTCAGTTTCTCTTAGAAGTTTCCGAATTACCATTGCGCGTGGAGGAAGTCCTTCTTCACGTGGCTTGAAATTTTTCGGGATTTAAGTGAAATCCTTTAAAAAATGTAAAAAAAGTCATTGGCACACTGACCCATAGCGGTCGATGACCCTAGGGCATTGGAGATGGAGTTGGCCCGGGGGCGTTAAGGGGAGGTCACATGACATGCGTGGGCTCGCTGTGAACCCTTTGTTGTGGCAAAGACCGGTGAGTGGAGATACTGAGTGGACCTTGGTCAGTAGAGACGGATTCGTTCACCAAGAATGATGGAAAACGTGAGTGACTATTTTACTAATTTTCGAATTTAGGAACCGTATGATCGTCATAAATTTTTAGGGATGAGTAATTAAACACGGAGTAAACTTTTACGGTAATGTTAAGATTTTAAAACAATTAAATTCGAAATTTATACAATTCTTATTTAAATTATACTTACTTTTACGTCTAGAAAATTTAAAAGTACATATTACAAAATAGTTTCTTAAAGGGAAGAAATGATGCACTCGTTTCGTGTAGAGGGAGGAAGCTCGAATCGATTGATATATTTGTCATATTTATTCCATATTTCGCTTAGTTTGATCTCGCTTATGAAAGGAATACAACGATAAATAAACTTTATTTATATATTATAAATATTTTAAAGTAATTTAGATATAAATTTACATATTTTTTTTTATTATTATTCATAAACAATTTATGACTTGAGGAAAAATAACTTTAAATCTTAATCTTTCATATAAAATATGATTAATTTCTTATCGTTTGAATCATTTTATATAAATATAATTCCAAAAAAAGTAATAAACAACATTAAAATATTGATTTAGTTAAATATATATAACGAAATTAAGCTGTTAAATATAACTTTTTTTTTCATTTTTTGTGGGTTGAACACGTAAAATGTGTCTCTAGAAGCTTAATTATTTATGGGATTTACCATAATTTTTTTTTATTTTTTTGATTTGGTACTGTATTCAGAGACACAAAGGTAAGTTTGATTCACTTTATAACTGTATATTAATTAAAGTTTTAGCTGTATTTAGTATTAAAATTAGATGAAATCGTTAATTATGGACACTTTTTTTTAATTATTTTGTATACTTTTATGTTAAATCATTAGTGTAGGTACAGGCTGTAGTAAATTAAACAAGGAGTGTGCTATATAGAAGAAAATGCATAATTACTTGTAAAAAATATTGGTTATTTTAAATATTAATATTATATATCGTATAACAGGTAGATATACAATATTTTTATAAAAAAATCGTAGGAAATACGGTGTATAACCTGCACTTTTTTCATAGAAAGCAACTGTAAGTATACTCAAGTGTCGCAGAACTTACGGTTGTAAAAATAAAAGAAAATTACACAAAATACATAAATTGAAAGTCTAATTAATTGAAAGTAACAGATTTTATTTAATGTTAATTAGTTATATCGGCAAAGTAATTAGATATTAGTGTTTTTTTATCAGGTTTAAAATGGAACAGGCAAATTCTTATCGCGAAACACGTTAATTTTCAACTCTTCGTTTTGACGTGAAAAATGTTTTTATTTTATCACTCAGTAGGAAAGAACAGTTAAAACATTTTTAATTTTGAGAATTTTCTTTCGTTTTTAAGAAATAAAAGAAAAATTTCTTAAGGTATTTTGTAAATGGGATGCAGATGTTTTTCTTTTTTTTTAAAGCTATTTAATTTTGCGCTACTGTAAAATTATTGTTTCCAGTTCATTATAAACACATTATTTAAATTGGTTTTAATTAGTTCTTGTAAAAAGTATTCCCACTGTATCCATTATCGGGGTTGGTATAAATGGTTTATTCAGGTTTGTGTACTAGGGAGCCATTTTTTCTGTGTCAGAAGGGGTCTTCGGGTTTTGTATTGTTCTCTTTTCTTTACAGAACCCCTTTTTTCTTCCCTGTTATACTGCGGAAATGTTGCATTGGTATTTCCTTTTTTGTCCTCCTTCTTTCTTTAACAATGCCCGAGGGAAACTTAGTAGAAGGGTCGTGGCACTTCCGTACACCTGCGATTCCCCCTTCAAGTTCCAGTGTTCACCTGTCGTGACCACCGAGGTGTAATGTTCTTCCTTTACTTATTTAGGGTAACTTCGGTATTTTGTCAAAGAATTTATATATATATTGACAATTTAACTGATTTTAAATTCGAAATTTGAATATTTTCGTGACATGATTTGATAGTTTTAATAAATTTCTAACGAAAGGAAGATGTTTTTATCACAGAAATTGTCCTTATAAAATACGACATTTTTTAGTGTAGTTCGAAGTGAAGAAAGGTAGGATTCTATATTTAGAAGAACGTGGGTTAATGGTTAAATTTTCTCTCTAACAGCTTTAAAAACTTCGACACAAAAGAATTCGTTCAAGGACACTTTCATTTTCAGTTCACGGTTTAAAAGAGTTAAGTTTTCTCTACCCTGGGGTGGTTGCAAGCAATTCTAAATACTTTACATTGAAGCTGACCACTGTCCACTATTATATTTTCTCAACAATAAATCTATCGCATGACATTTTTATATTTATGAGGCTATTAACTCTTAACAAAATGGAATAAGAATAATAGATTTTTAAAAATTTTCTGGGGGGGGTCTATCTTAACGAAATATTGTCATAAAATCATTTTAGAAATAAGATAAAAATTATGAACTCTGCACTTTGATCTTACCACGATAACATTTAATGAACAAAGAAAAACATCGGGAAAATAGCCGCTTTTTATCTATTTTTCTGACTATACAAATTCGAGGAATATTTTGTTTGATATCAGCTGATAAAATGAGATTAACTAGCTTAATTTTTCCATTTTTCTATATAAAAAATCCAATTCTTCATTTTTTTTAAAGGGTTTCGTCGTTTAAAGGGTAGATTAAAGAGACAAAAAATAAAAAAAATAATCTATTTTTGTGAATAATTCCTTGTTAATATTTTAAGGTCAAGTTAAACGCGTGTGGATACCGCTATCTTTGCTAATTGTTACAGAAAACGGTGATAATGAATGTGGTAAAACATATGGTTATCTATAAACTTCTTTATATAATGTTTATATTATAAATGTTTGATTTAAAATAGTTGTTTTGAAAAAAAATATTAATAAAGTTATATAAGAATGAATGAAAAATAAGACTATTGAAACTGTATAAGGTTTAATTTTTAAACGTACTTTACTTGATTAAGGCTGTAGTTTTAACTGCATTCATGCTCTTATCTTTATCCTTTAAGCCTTAACTGCCTGTTTAATTTAAAAAAATAATAAAAGATTGAGAGCTAATTTAAGAATTTTATTAAATATTCTAGCATAAAAATTTATTTAAAGCACTATTTATAAGGTTTTACAGGCTTTTTACAGTGTTCTAAAACTGTAAACTTTATAAAATAAAGCTTAAAAAATGATAAATTTTAACTTTTTTAGATGATAAAAATTTCATTTATTAATAGAATATAATGTAAAATATTAAATTAAGGACTAAAATATTGCAAATAGATCAAGATTATCGCGGCTAAAGAGTCGGAATTATAAGAAATATTTAAATAGAAATAAGGCATGGAAATATAAACAAACTTCTAATAAAATCTAAATTAATAATTTAAATAAAAAAAAACGTTCTTTTGGGAAGGTTTATTTTATCCAAAGGTATAAAAATCTGTTTGTTATAATACCAGGCACCATAGAAGTTTTATAAGATCATTTGGGTTAGAGCCCCTAAATTGTAAAATCTAAGGCCTCTCAGGCCTCTGAGGGCCCGAGAGGCCTTAGATTTTACAATTTAGTTCTATTTATGTTAATACTTATACCATACGTAGGCACTTTGTATTGCTTTATATGCTTACATACGATGTTCGAACATACTGACGTGAGCCTCTCAGGCTAGGGCTTCAGAAATTTAGTTTTTTACATTATAAAATGATATGAAATGATGCGAGTTAAAGTTTCTTTTGACATAAATGACGGTGTTTTATTGATTTTGTTTATATATTATTATGTTTTTGGAGGAGCTGAGATCCCCATTAGTGACTAGCTCAGGCCTTATCCCATTTCTCTCAGGCTCTAAATAAGTTTATAATTCTTAGATATTGTTAATATTTAAAACATAAATATAAGGAAAGAATGAAAGATTAAGTATTTAATATGAATGTAATTTAAAATTTATTAATTTTTTCACGAAAATATTCATTAAATTGAGTTATATTAAGCATTGTAAAAGATAATACGAACAATGAACATTGAATTAAATAAAAGGGACTTTATTCATTAAAAACTCATTTCTCAAAGATTTTTGGGTGATGATCTTTAATTATGGGCTATAAAAATAGCGCCATCTATTGGCGAAAATCGGTAATTTGTAGAATAATTGTAACGTCGGCCCGTTATGCATTTTTTAAAACTACAAATGATTGACATGCCTCATAGATTCTCCATTTAGATTATTCCGCCATATTAAAAACATAACCTTATAATCTTGGTGGTAATCCAACTGTATTCTTTCGAGAAAAAGATCAGCAAAGCGTCACAAATCCGGAACCACGGCTTGTGATCCTATGCCACGTGGCTTGAGCCCTGTAACACGAGCCACGGCGTCAAAGGGCTCATCGGTTCCGTTCAGCTGTCCGCCCTTCAGGGCATAACGGCTAACCTGTCCTGGCAGCTGCCAGTCCGCCCTGCTTCCAACTGATAGGTTTATTACCCAATAAATCTTGTCGCCAGGTAGCTGAACCATCTGGTAGTGTTTACAACCAAACTTTGAGATGTGCGGTTGCACAAATAAGAGGGTTTTTTAAGTTGCGGACGGGTGACTCTAATAATTCACCCTGTTGACCTAATATCTGACAATGGTGGCGGGGGGTTTGCGGCCGACGAGGGATGACACACACACAAAAAGGGTGAACAGATATCATTCAGTAAGGGAGTAGGACACTATGGTTTGCTAATACACGTGTATTCAGTAAATAAACTAGTAAATAAATCTGCTTCCTTTATTTTCAGTGAAAAAGATGGGAAATTGAGCATATCAAAAATGATATATATATTTTTTCTTTTTTTTTTGCTGAAATTCAGTGGCGCGTGGTAACCAGGCAAATTTGAATTGCGGGACACCGTGTACAGCATTGACTTCAGGCATTTTTCCTCGGGGAGATTTTTTTGGGGGAAGAAATCTCCCGTTGGTATCCTCGTTCGGTTTTTTTTAACGCGAATCTCTGAAGATTTTAAGTTCTGCACTAAATCGGCAATCTAAGAGTCTCTCTGTATGCTCCAAA